TGCACCGCGCCTGATGGAAAGTGCGAATACAGTCCAGAGATGAGAGTAACGGATGGAAAACACAAATATCTTAACCTACTTAAACCTACGTAATATCATTTTGTCACTATCATTTTGCCGGTCTGGCCAAATGCTTCTTCACACTACGTTTGAAGGACCCGATGTTATAGAGGGGAGGGAATACATGCGCCGGGAGTTGGTTCCACAATTTGATGGTTCGGCATAAGAACGAATTGCCAAACTTTTTAGTGCGGGACGGTATTGAACTGACCGTCCAACTGTGGCAACGCAGTCCGGCACGGGTGGTCCGCTGATGGAAAGGAGAGGAAGGGATAAGGTTGAATAACTCTTCAGAGCACTCACCGTGGTACAGGCGATAGAATACGCTAAGAGACGCTATATCTCTGCGAAGCTGTAACGACTCCGCATGCTCAGTTACATGAGGATCGTTGACAACACGGAAGGCGTAGCGCTGCAGTCCATCTAGGGCATCGAGCAAGTACTTGGCAGAGCCGTCCCAAAGGTGCGAACAGTACTCCATGCTGCTTCGGACCTGAGCTTTATACAACTAAAAAAATAAACTGGAGTAAAAAATCGGTGCACCTTGTTCAGGATGCCAAGCTTGCGCGACGCGGTACAGATGACGCTCTCTATATAGTCCTTGTTGCTCATGTCCTGCCGGATGCTCATCCCCAGCAGGCTGAGCTTGTCCTGCAGCGTCAGCGTTGTACCCTGAAGATGGGGAAGTGGAAGGAATGGGGATTTTTTGGAACTGAACGCGCATACCTGGGTTTTCTTGGCGTTGAACTCAACCAAGTTTCGGGAGCCCCACGACGATATATGTTCCAAAACATGGTTGAGCTCAGCGACAAGTTTTTCCCGGTTTCTCTCAGGGTTCTCCCGGCCGCTTGACGGTTGCTTATAATAGCAACCGTGCACTGTGCTATCATCTACATAGCAATGAATGTTGCCAAAAGGCAACAAGTCATTGATATGCAGAAGGAACAGCGTGGGCGACAGCACGGAGCCCTGTGGCACCCCAGCATTAACTGTCACGAGCCGCGAAGTGCCTCCGTCAACAAGGACACGCAATCTTCGCTCGCGCAGAAAGCCGGAGATCCACTCACAAAGGCGGCCGGGAAGACCATATGCCGGAAGCTTGGAGAGGAGACCACGGTGCCTGACCCGATCAAAGGCCTTAGCAATATCCAGACTTATCGCTAAGGTTTCGCCCTGTTTGTCGATAGCTTCACCCCAGAGATGCATTAGATACGCTAGAACGTCACCCGTTGATCGGTTCGGCCGAAACCCGTACTGTCGATCATTAAGAATGGAGTGACGTTCCAGGTGCCGGATTATCTGGATATTTAGAATCCGCTCCATCACTTTGCAGAGCACTGAAGTGACAGCTATTGGGCGATAGTTTGTCGGATCAGACCGATCTCCTTTCTTGGGGATAGGTTGCACGTTGGCCTCCCTCCAAGCTAGGGGCACGTTACCAGATTGGTATGAGAGGCGGTATAAGCGCGTCAGTACGGGAGACAACTCCGCCGCACACCTTTTAAGGACGATAGGAGGTATCCCATCTGGACCATAGGCTTTCCGCACGTCAAGAGTCTGCAGTTCCTTGCGGACATCACATTGCCTGATAACTATATCAGGCATTGTGACTCCGCAGTGGGGAATTGACGGCGGTTGCGCATCTTGGTCGTGAATGCGCGAGTTAGCCCCAAAAAGGTCGGCCAATAAATTGGCTTTCTCTTCGGGGGCATAGGCCAAAAATCCATTGGGATACCTCAAAGGCGGCAGCGACGAACGACAAAAATTGGACTGCACGGCTTTGGCCAGGCTCCAGTAGGCACGGCTACCGGTGGGATGGGCTACCAGCTTCTGGCCAATCCGTGAAACGCGCTGGGCATCCGCTCTTATGTAAGCCCTCCTGCAAGACTTGGTTGCTTTGTTATAGGCTGCTTTAAGGGACGCAAGGTTGGGATCCTTTGTTACACGACCCTTGATCCAACCACGATATGCAGCCTGTTTCTCACTAACAGCGTCCATGCATTCGCGATTGAACCAAGGGCGTCCTCTGCGATTGGCGATGACACTGGAAGACGGTATGTAGTAATTCATAGCCGTTCCAATCTCATCGACAACAGCATCGGCAGCTGCTGAGGCATCCTTTCTCGCAAAGTAGTCGCGCATACCATCCCAATCCGCCGACGAGTAGTGCCAAATGCGACGAGTGACCTCCTTCAGCTTAGTTGTAGGCATTTGGGAAACCTTACACCCAACCAAACAGTGATCAGAACTTCCCAGGGGGGCGCTGACTATGCTCAAGTCAGGATTACAATTGAAACACAAGCACTGAAAATACGACCCTAATGGCAGGGACTTGAATATGATTTCGAGTGCTTTAAACCATACTCAAATCCTGACTTGAGCATTGAGTAGAGTTCTAGAATACGCCCCTCAAACTCGTATAGTATAAAGAGTGATTATTCAGATGGCAAAACTTTCCATTTATTTTAAATTTCTTAACAAGGGTGTTAATTTGGTTGCGTTACTTTAAGTGTAGGTGTGTGTGAATATGAAGGAAATGTGATATGAAATTAGTCTGCAAAATTTGTATAGGTATATAATCCATTTCTTGCATTTCGGTAACTTTGTGCTTTAAGATACGAGTTTGAGAAAGTAAGACGACGAAATATATCCACATTTTTCGAAACAATACTAACGATTATCCAGAAGCGAGAAGTCAGGAAATTAAATCATTGAAGAAAAATTTAAATCTGGCAGTATGCGAGATATAAAAAATGGCTATTTAGACGCCTCAGTCAGTCGCGAAGCGCGAAGGACGAAAAATTTGGTTACTACAGCTTTGCTACAGAAAATCTATATTCCGTCTACACATCTTTTACAGTGCCCAACTTGAGCGTAGGAAAGCTGTAGAATCTCTAAAACTAGACTAAGTAAATAAATGCCAAATTAATCTGAGGTGGTGAAAGCAAAAATATAAAACTTTTTCTTTACATCAATATATATAACAATCAGTACAGAGTACTACAAAAACCGACCTCAAAAATCATCAACCCTTAGAGGTGGAATATTGTCTTCAAATCTCAATGGGACCACATCTGAGGTACCCTCTTTCTAACAAAAAAAAAAGAATCATCAAAATCGGTTCACAAATTACAAAAAAAAACAAAGAGTTATCGCGTAACATACATATACATACTCCTCCTATTTTTAAAGTCGGTTAAAATTGTTTTTCTGGCCCTACAAAATAAAACACAGTTCACAGTATTATAATCTATTTATTTCAATCAATACGTTCAGTAACAACATAATTATGTCTTTACAGTTTTCAACAACGTATGTGTTAACGGCTCAAGTTGCCGAAGTTCACATTTGGACGTTGAACGAACAATATCAACGGGAAGCAAATTTGAAACAAACAAACCACTTTTGTTTTTAATTCATGACCTTGGATTTTAGGGCGTCTTCAAATTAAAGCAGCGCTGCAGTGGCACCATTGTGGCGCTGCAGCCGCGCCGCTACTAATTTTCATACAATATTTAGAAGCGCAGTTGCAACGCCACAGTGGACTACAAAATACTGCAGCGCTTCTACAAGCGTCTCAATTTGAAAGCGCCCTAAGTCCTTGAATTTCAACACCAGTGTTGCCATTTTATTTACATTCTACCATGCTTGGTTTTTATTTGTTAAGCAACATAGCTAATGTGACAGTATCAATGACAATCAAAATGGAAGTAAATTAATTTTCTACTCCGCGAACCCAGTGATGGTTAAATCGTGCAAAATAGCTGCGTTTGTGTTGAATATTTTTTCATGCAGTTAATTATCCACCCTCCCTCCGCATAAAATTAATAAAATAAATAACACAAGCGCAAACCACCAAAAATATACCCGACACCATTTCCCGACACGTATATTTTTGGTGGTGGTTCGCCTTTTTTAGAACAGATGGAAATAATTAGGTACGGACAATGGCGCATCAGACTACACATTTTTGTTCGAAAATCGCCTCCAGTGCAACGGAACAAGATATGTCAATGTGTAGCTTGATGTGCTGGCGTGGTACAACAACAGGGGTTGTATAATAAATGAACAATAGAATTTTGCATCATCACCTTTATTACGGATACTTTCGGGTTTCAACAATAGGTCTAGCGGGATATTAGATAGATTAAGCGATTTTTCGCCATTTAGGCTATTTCTAAAATAACTTATTTGAAGGTTTGGGTATTTCAACGTGTGAGGAATTGGGGAAATAAGAGAGTTCATATTCCCCAAGCCAGCAAGCAGAATTGTAAAACTGTTTTCCTTGATTTTTAGGGATTTTATCGGCTACTTAACACACTTAATACTTTGGCGAATTAACTTCGCAAAAGTCTGGCAACGCCGGTTCTGAACGAGCTCACTCTTCGGCCGAGCGTCGAACAGTCAACAGCCTCTGAGGATGCCTCGTGGAAAGGTAAACTACCACCAAGAAACATACGTGTCGGATATATTTTTCGTGGTGGTTTGTGACTGTAGTTGCGCTTGTGTTATTTATTTTATTAATTTTATGCGGAGGGAGGGTGGGATAATTAACTGCATGAAAAAATATGTAACACAAGCGCAGCTGTTTTGCACGATTTAACCTTCACTGGATTCGAGGAGCAGCAAATTAATTTACTTCCATTTTTATTAACATGGACTTCCCCAAAGTAACGCCTGAATCTATTAATTAGCATCAATGATCTCCATAGCTCCAATGTTGGTGAACTCACAAGCACATTGGACTTTTCAACTTATGTCTCAAGGTGATGGGCTTTTGATCTTTGCGATTTAAAGCTCTGAGTGGCACTGCAACTGTTATGGACAGGCGTGTCGTTTACCATCAGGCGCACGACTTGTTCGTCCCATCATTTAGTATAATAAAGAAAACGCTACGCCAACTTTATTTTTTGGTCATTTTCTGTTATTATTGTAAACAGCCATATTCATTTACTAATATTATGCTCCCCGAGTTTTGTGAAAAATAAAGAAACAAAAAACATAATTCGAAAAAATAAACAAACGAAAACAAAATAAAAACAGAACAGGTCCAAAAATTAGGTTGGCGTAGTGTTACATTGGAGGTACCGATTATGTAGGTTTCAGATTACACATTAAATAAGTAATTTTGAAGATATTAAGTACTAGGCTCGCAGCGGCCTGCGGGAGGTTTTCTATTTCGTCTTATGCCCATATGAACAGCTCGTAGGTGATGTCGGGCGTTGCCTGAACACGAGAATCGCCTGCCGCACGTTGAACACGCAAACGGCTTCTCGTTGGTATGACGCTGCCAAAGAAAATTGTTTATAACAAACTAGTGGAGTAATTTCTCAAAAAATAATTGAATATCAATTCAATAAAAAATTAAAATACAGTGAGTAGCGACATCTCTCGTCAGGGCTGGTAGCTGTAAAAAGTCGTTGAAAAACCAAATACAAAGACACTACAACAAGCACAAGGAAAAAATTGTTTGGAACAAAAAGCTACATTTAGAACCGTGAAGCATGGAAAGATTAATGAGAGACTATCATGGCTGCTAAAAGTTAATCCTAAATAATTTGAAGCTAAGTTTTGGAGATAAGTGCGATATTTGGATATAAATTCCCTCCGCGGCCGAACGGTTACCATGCCGACTGCGATGCAGAGGTCCCAGGTTCGATTCCCGGGCCGGGAGAAATATTTGTATGGCCTTTATTTATTTCTCTCGTGAGTTTGGGTGTAATTTGTGGTTGTCTATGCGTGTGTCCATAGCACCCGCGACACAGGGTTTCCCTAGTGTGGGGCTATGTTGAGTTTGTGCGTTATTTACAATTATGCCTCCCAAACTTTAACCACCCTACCGCTACAAACTTACCCTGACATGCGCAGCCCTGTGTCCCGCCTGTGTAAACGTCTTCGGACATATGGAGCATTGGTAGCGACGCAAGTTCGCGTGCCGGTCCATGTGAGCCTAAAATACAGTGGAAATAAAACTATACAACAGTAGTACAACAGTAGCACTGCAAATGTTATGGGCAGGCATGTCGCTTACCGCCAGCGAAAGACTTGTTCGTAATTTTATTTAAAAAAAATTCTCAAAACTATGTGGAATTACATTTGCCAAGTTTTATTGCTACCGCTTAACGGAAAGCAGAAGATATCCAATAAACCGGGTTCATCCCCTAATTTGCCACCCTTAAAGACAGTATATTTTTTTCAAATTTGAATTGGATTACTATTGAGGTGGCTAAAGGTGGACTGTATTTAGGGCGCTAGTAATTCTTTGCCTGTGCTATCTTGGCTAAAATGGTATAGAAGTACTCACGCGTACTCCTCCCTTCACTACGGCGGCAGCGGCGCGGGTGTGAGTCTTCAGCGAGGAAGATGGCACACTCTTATGCGTTTGTATTATAATAATCAGTCGCAGAATAACCTAACCTCCGGTTAAAAAACCATCCTCAAAAGTCATTCATCCCCTAGTTTGCCAACCTTAGAGGTGGAATATTACCTTGAAATTTAAATGGGACCACAACTGAGGTACCTTCTTTCCAACAAAAAAAAAGAATCCTCAAAATTGGTTCACAAATGACTGAGTTATCGCGTGGCATACATACGAATTGAGAACCTCCTCCTTTTTATGAAGTCGGTTAAATAGAAGAGATAGTTTCGTTTCACTCAGTCAGTCAGTACGCGGGGCATTCGATATCATTATAGATTGAATAGCACAGGCAGAATACCGAACACTCCCTTTATTACAAAAAAACAATACTGTCTCCTCCTTTTTGAAATCGGTTAAAAAAGTTACCATTTGTGACAATAACGTTGTTTTGCATGCACAACCCGACAAATGCTAAGTAGTAACCATTTTAGATCGCAATGTTTAGTATTAAGATTTTTTTTATATAACTAAGTGACGTCACGCCTGTCCATAACGGTTGCAGTGCTACTCAGAGCTTTAAATCGCAAAGATCTGAGAGGCACTGCCACTGCGCCCGTTATCCCGAGACATAAGTTGACAAGTCCCATGTGCCTGTAATTTCACCAGCACCCTTACCCTTCCAAACCAGAACGCAGTATTGTTCACATTACTGCCTGGCGGTAGAAATAGATAAGATTTACTTTATATTACTAGTCATAAGAAGTAAGACCAAATAAATAGTATTTACTTTCTTTCTTTTTTTTTCAATAACGACATTCCATTGGTTGTTTAAATAATCTCTTCCCTTGCGTTACGAACTACGTTTTCTTGGCTATTTTTTATGATATCAAGTGACTGGACGCTTACTATACAATCTAATTCGATAACCATTTTATTTGGAACTCACCCGATGCGTGCTGGGCAGACGAAAGGTCTTCGAACAAACGTCGCATTGGTAAGGCTTGTCGCCCGTATGGAGGCGCTGATGATCGCGGAGGTATTTGCGATCCTAAACCAAGACAATATCAAGTATTAATAATAACAATCGATAATATGTCAGTATGTTTCTATCACACAATCTACGAACGGCCATTGCTTCAATAATCAAATTAAGAGTCGATACTATCTCAGCTCCGAATTAAAATTCTTCCCGTACTAATAAGGTACATTTTGCTTGGGTCGAGTGACACTGGCTTTATTTCAGAATTTATTTTTACAAACGATATTAAATCCATTAAATTTAATTCATATGAAAAACGTATTACAATAATATACGTGATATATTTAGTTCAGTTGATGTATAAATAATCTCAGTACAGAGTACTAAAAAAACCGACCTCAAAAGTACGTGGAATTACGTCTATTTGCTAAGTTTTATTGAAATATCCCCTAGTTCGCCACTATACAAGACTTGACACTGCAGATAATAAAACTCGGTTCTCACTACTCAAAGTATAATGAGAGAAAAACGCCCTGAATTGGAGAAATAGCAAAATCAACCATTAAAATAATTGCTCCTTAAGTAAAAATGAATCTTCATGCGTGAACAGCCACCATTAGAGGTGGAGGTGGTCACATACATACAAAAAAAAAAGAACTAGCAGTCGAATTGGAAAAAATGGCTAATTAGCGCGATTGTGTTTTTAATAGTTTATTTTATTCGCAATACACTGTACTGTGCTCTGTAGTGAACCTGAGGATTTTTACTGCTATGGCGGCCGTTCCCAGGCGGAATTGCTACCAGCGCAACGAAAGAAAAGGTGAGTGTGCATGTTCCCATCATTTTCACTGTTCTTCGACCTACTACCATATACTTGTTCCCGTCCTTATAGGAAGCTACTTCCAAATGCATTTACTCGTAGTCATCAAGTATACAACCAGAAATAGAGACGAAATAAGGGCCATATATTCCTGGTAACACATTAGCGATACAGCTCTTATAAATATCAACTCTCGTTTGCACTGAAATATAGACAGTCCAACTACTGACCTGTGCGTACGTCTTCGTATATTCAAAAAAAATGTTCTGTATTTATTGTAATAAAGATAATATCTCTTACAATGCCGTGTTGTTCTATTCGGTGGTGTTGGAAAAACAGCAAAAGATCTAATTACAAAACAAACGGAATCACATTTCATCGGTAATTAAATATTAAATATGTAATTTAGCAATTTTAGTCCATTAAAGCAAAGCTCAAGTTAACTGGTCGATTTGAAGTGAAACAATTGACGACACCCGTCAATTGTTTCGAACTCGGGCTGGCCAATCGGAGCGCAGTTGTCACAGTAATGATATGGCAGAATAGTTTTCAAACAAATTAAATGACATTTCGTCTCTATTTCTGGTTATATACTCGATGCTCGTACAAGTACGTTTTAACGTAATTAGAAATCGCAAAATATACAGTCCACTACTTATAGGCATTATACATCTTCATTTCGCACCACCAATCCTTTTATTTTAATGCATTCGCTATGCTAACAAATGTCAACACTCAAACCGATAATTAGTAGAATCTGTAATTTAAATTGTAACACTGACAACAGTTTGACACATAAATAGAAGAAACAGTTATTATACACACAAAAAAATACAGTCGAATTAAAAACCTATTCCTTTTTTAAGTCTGTCAAAAACAAGATCCAAAGTTTATATAAACGTACACTTACCATGAAGCTCCGTCCACAGACTTCGCACATAAATGACGGCGTGACCCCCTCCCCGGTGCGTTGCGATCGCCGATGCTCACGGAGGTGGATCTTGAGGAGTCTCTCCGAAGAATATGTCTTGGAGCACTGAAAAAAACATTAAGGGTCGTATTTCAGAACTCTACTCAATACTCAAGTCAGGATTTGAGTATGATTTAAGGCACTCAAAATCATACTCAAGTCCCTGGCACTAGGGTCGTATTTCCAGTGCTTGAAATCATACTCAAGTCTGCTCAAATCCTGACTTGAGCATTGAGTAGAGTTCTGGAATACGACCCCTAGTCTATTATAACCAACCATGCCGAGTGCACACAAACTTGGATACATGAGTGGATAAAAGGGGTAAACACATTGACTTACAATTATATGGTCGTCGGGTCCGCGCTAAAGTGTCCGAGCTTACAGGGCGTTGAAATCGTATACAGAGCGTCATTCACGCTTTAGTCTTCGCTTGTTCGACTGACAGCGAAGCAAGCAAAATTAGACAGTACTGCGATGACATTACAATTTAAATTCAACGTGTTAGCTTTTTCATATTCCTTTACATATCACTACGTTTAAATAGGTTGACTTGGGACATTTTTTTCGTGGTTTTTGTATTAGACCCGTCGTCCATTTATTTGTAAGTCAATGGGTAAACACCATAATATATTCTTGCATATAAATGCCGTGTAAATTTAGTTTGAATGGGCTCTAACATAATTTTGTACTTTGCTTCATGAGGTTTTTTGAGGATTGTTACTTAGTTAAGTTAAGTTAGTTTTAAGCTGTTGGTCTTCCTTTAAGATAAATAAATAAATATTATACTATGCTATTAACTTACTTTGGAACACTTAAAAGCGTTGTCGGTCTTCCAGTGTACTTCTTCGATGTGAGTCTGCAATGATTCTTGACCAGAAAAGTTTGTACCGCACGCAGGGCATGGTCTGAAAGCAAAATAGCAAACCTTGCAACGGCTGACCAAGAGAAATAGAATTATTTCATAAATATTCTTTAGTAAATTAATATTCTTAATACCAGACTACTTAAAATACCAACCTCAAAGTTCGAGGAAATCTATTTCCCAAGTTTATTGAAATCGGTTACTGGAAAGTGCGAGAAACCGGATTCGTCCCCTGGTTAGCCACCCTTAGACGTTTAATATTTTCTTTAAATTTAAATGGGACCAATATTGAAGTACCCCCTTTCTAACAAAAAAAAGAATCCTCTGATACGTTCACATATACCGCAGTTATCGCGTAACATACATATATAAAAAATACAGCCAAATTGAGAACTCCTCCTTTTTTTGAAAACGGTTACAAATAAGTTAATATTAAGTTTTTTTAAGTTATTGAATGTCACGATGTTTGAACATTATATTAAATTATTTTTCATGAAATTACTCCGCTACTTTGTTATAATTATTAATACAAATATCGAACACTTACAAACAAACAAACCGTGCCAGACGCTATGCCAATTAAGCCAGGAAACGAACTAGCGGACCTTTCGAATTTTTCTATATGCTTGTTTGCCGTAACGCCATCTGTGAGAAATCTATGAAAGTTTTTCTTCGCTACTAGATGGCGATACAGCAAAAAAGTCGTTAAAAACAAAAAAACAATGATCTGCAACAAACGCATCGAAAAAGGTCTCACGTCTAGCATTAACGTCACTGTGAGAAACTTCTGAAAGTTTCTTCACTCAGCCAGGTGCCTTTACAGCTACAAGAGGCTGACGGGACATGTCGCTATGTTGATTGCAATATTTATTACTTACTTGAGATCGATTGAACACCCACTTATCCGATGTTTATTTAGGGCTTCTGTTGAATGAAACTGAGAACTACAGGACTCACAATTGACTCCCACCACCTGAGCGAACAAATAGGTAATGTAAAAAACACTGTGTAAAACAATACGTTACAAAATGGCAGTGTTGTGCTATGGCGGGTGTTATACCTCGTGTGTTCATATTTGATGAATACCGGGAAATCTTGGTACTGGCGTGGAACAATCAATCCAGGTACCGCGATTATAATAATAAATTTATTTACTTCAGACAACATTTAAGGTACATTTTAATGTTAGTAAAGCTTATACTAGATTAATTGCCTCCGTGACCGAACGGTTACTATGCCACGCAGGAGTCTCAGGTTCGATTCCCGGGCCGGGAGAAATATTTGTATAGCCTACATTTCTTTATCTCGTGGGTTTGGGTGTAATTTGAGGCTGTCTATATGTGTGTCCATGGTACCCGCGACACAGGGTTTCTCTAGTGTGGGGCTATGTTGAGTGTGTGCGTTATTATTATTATTAATGAAATTGGCCTCTGTGCGAGTTTATACACCATCAGGCCTATAAGCTATCGACTTCAGGATGCCGTTACAGGTCCCGCGCATTCTATTCCACAACGACGCAGTTTTCTTTCGCCAGTCTGCGAACAATGCCCTGAATGCATTATTAAATTGGACTCGCACATGATACATGATCTACTTTTCAGTTCAGAATTCAAATAAATTATTATAGGATAGAATTCATTTATCACAACGCTATAACACAAAAATATACAAAAATAAATAAAAACGGACAAAGTAAAAGAAATAAATAGAATAAACAAAAAAAAAACAACGAAGCAAACATAATCCAATTTTAAACTGTCAACTCAATTTAAATAAATGTCATGTGTGCAGCTGTGGCGTATGTAAAAGAATTAAGATATCAATTTACGAATATATATATAAACGAACAAAAATTATGAATCGCTTATACCAACCTCGTTGCCATAAAGTAATTTATAAGAATAACTGCTTCAACATGTGTATAATTATTTACAATAAATTACCAAACGAAATTAAATTGTTACAAGGCCATACGTTTAAATTAAAATTGACAAAATGGCTTTTGACACATTGCTTCTATAGTAATAAAGAATACTTAGAATTTACAAATTCATTACATTAACTAGAAACTATAGAGACTAAATAAACATTGAATCCCATTAATATTTGCACATCTGCTTACAGGTTGAATACAATGTACCTAATTTTACTTAAGACCTTTGTAATTACTGTATTCTGGCAAATAAACGTATTCTATTCTATTAGAACCTCGAAAGGACTGTCTGAGCTCAGTCAGCCATTTTCGCTTTATGTGGTATGGTTCAGTCATTCTTTTGTGGAAATTAAAATCCTACAAAAATGTCGTAGTATTTCATATCATCGGCCTCTTATTTTAATAAATTTTCAATTTTCTGTTTATCGAAATGTTTTTGTTACAAGAAACGAAAGTAAAGCTTAAACCCCTGCAATATGGTCGCTTCTTTTTTGGAGAACTAAATTAATAACTCCACTTCGTCGTCGTTCAGCAATAAACCGCTAGATGGCAGCACATTGAGGTTGAAATATCAATGAAAACGTCGCATTTGTATACTCTAGCCAAATTCGATGTAGAATAAATGTCAACAAACAAAACCATTTGATTTTTAGGGTTTTCATCCCAGACTCTTTCACAGTTACAACAATTTCAATATTTTCCTACAAAATTCAGTTAGATTATGGATAAGACTAAATCTTGAAGCCATGTTTATAATGATTATTATTCAAGAGAAGTTTAAAACTACCTAAAAATGACCAGTAGTTAATTATTTGTAAAACTGTGTCATACGTAGTGACTTTTTGATTTGAAGGGAGAGATTGCAAACATTCGAGTTCTAGTGGTAATTCAAGTTCAGAATCGGAAATAGATGCTGGATGATATAATATGTAGTAAATTCATATTATTATTATTATTATTATGATTATTTATAATTATTGGCTAAGTAAGTATTATTTCTACGTAACCCAATTACCTACTTACCTATTTAAATTCCAATTACGAGAGCAGGCCGTGGGGGCAGAGGAAGCTTTAATAATGAGCATTGAAAAACATGTTCTTTTCCTATGTCATCATTGGTTGCCTAGCAACGTTTTGTTATTAAACATTCTACATCGAATTTGGCTAGAGTATAGTATCATCATTAAGAGGGAGCAGAGGAAAAATTCCTAATCTTCGATTTGATTTTAGAGGGGTGTAAAGTTAAAAATAAAATATTGTATGAGTAACTACACGATATATTCAAGCATAGATATTAATCAGAAACATAAAACAATAAAGTTTCCTCGATAGATAAAAATCACGAAATGACCTCTAATTTTCACATTTTTTCGATTCATCCTCGAAATGCTAAAGGTTATTAGGACAAAAATTAGATAATTAATTATATTTATGCATGATCGACAACTGTCACTACGGATTTATTTTTAATCCCTTTAGTTTTAGAGTTATTCCGCTAAAACGAATTTGGTACTTTTAATGCGCAAAATTCAACATCTCCTGTCGCATGTCACGCGAACTTCAGGCATATATTTGTTTCACAAATTTGGGCGTAGCCAACGTCAAAACTTTTTTGGCTCTTAAGTATTTTCTATTTAATTTTAATTTCTATAAAGATACATAAAGATATAGAGCCCGAATACATAAAGATATTATTTTGAAAGCACGGGAGTATAATACTCAACCCACACGCAAAATAGGCGCTTTGTCGTCGAGTTGCGGACACCAGCCCGTTGCACCAAGTATAATACTCAAGACATTCTTTTCTACCTCTTTCTTCTTACCTCTTTATGCTGCCAGAATTTATGTCTGCTAACGCCGGTGGCACTGATGAAGAGCATCCCGCAAATGTCGCAACGCGCAGCGCCGTGTGCGCTTCGTACGTGGTTCATGTGTTGTGCCCGTTGACTTAAAAAAATTAACAGAACATTTTCATTTCATCCTATTCGCCGAGGCCGCTTAATAGTTATTTGTTATGCAAGGTTGCAATGTTGTTGTTTAACGCGAGTGCTTGTATTGAAACCTGAACAAGCGAAGGAAGGTAAGCGAGTGGTTCAAATATAGATTCCTGAGCGTAGCGAGGGTTTCAAGCCACGAGACGCGAAACAACTTTGCTGCCGAGCGAAGCACACAACTTTTCACCTCACTACAGCGAGGGAAATGGTAGATGAAAGAAGAACTGTTGAACATATTTTTTTTAAATTAGAAGATAAAGTTTATCTTCGGGCGCGTTCTGAATTTACACCGCATCAATTTTTATTCTTGCGTGTACTTTTATTTTGTGTGATTAAGTGGTTATTAAAATTGTTTATTTATCTAAACACTTTATTGTACCACAAGAATAAAGAGATTTCTTCCAACTAACCTTTGTAAATCTGAGAGGATTTTGGGGTGGCACTAAAAATAGATACTTAAATAATGATCAGTACAGAGTACTAAAAAAACCGACCTCAAAAGTACGTGGAATTAAGTCTATTTGCTAAGTTTTATTGAAATATCCCCTAGTTCGCCACTTTACAGGATTTGATACTGGAGATAATGAAAATAGGTTCTCACTACTCTATATCACAAGTATATTGAGAGAAAAACGCCTTGAATTGGAGAAATAGCAAAATCAACCATTAAAGTAATTGCTCCTAAATTAAAGTTAGGCGCTATTTATAAAAATGAATCTTCATGCGTGAACAGCCACCCTTCGAGATGGATGATTTTGAAAGTACCCCCTTTCCAACAAAAAAAGAATCATGAAAATCTGTTCACAAACACCGGAGTTATCGCGTAAGATACATACAAAATAAACATACAGACGAATTGAGAACCTCCTCCTTTTTTAAAGTCGGTTAAGAAATGAAATATACTCTACTCAATAAATACACAGATAAATTTATTATATCAAATGTACATACGAATATATTAAGTAATGTTGATACATTAATACATACAAAATCTATAATAATAATAGACTATAGTTCTTCGACGAATTAAAATAATTTAATAAGCACTATAAACACTATTAGTTATCATTGGCAATTTAATGTCAACAATAATAAGAATAAAATATACTAATGGATTTATGTTACACAAATTAGTGATGTACGACGTGCCATTATCTTTTTTTTCTCATTTCCATCGTCAAGTTCGAATTTCAAAAACGCTTTCTTTCAAAAACGACTTCTAATGAGAAAGCCTTTCCGAGTTAGTGAGGTGAAAAAAAAAATTGCATTCTTAATTTCTCACACATGGCGCTCGACTGCAATAATGCACTTGCCTGGGCTAAAGCAAAAGGTCAATACCACACTGGTCAGTGGGAGAGAGAGCGCAATATCGCTGTCCCGTTGTGATAATTTTAGCACAAGTCTGCATCGAGTAAATAATCTTACTATAGGTACATAATACAACATAGTACTTACGAAAACTGTTTTCCGCAATGCTTGCAGGTAATCTTTACACCTTGATGATGATTGTAATGGAACTTGGCTCTTTTTCTGTAAAAACGAAAAAATAAATGTAGTATATCGATTGTGAACTGGCAATCGATACTATCTCAATTTTGACAACTTAACAGGATGACGAAAAAAATTGTTTTCATCATTTATATAGCATCTGGTTTATTCAATAAAAATAAGTATCGAGTTCTTAGGTTTTCGCCTAAAAACCTAAGAACTCGATATGTACACCAGTACGGACTGGATGTTGCAAATAAAATCCGGCGGTTCGAAGACCTCAAGAACAAACGTGCGCGCGCCCTAGCTGCATTAACTTTTCTCAAAAAGTGCCGCGACAATAACATAGTTCCAACATGCGTTAAAATAACTCCGCGAATAGACATCTACGGTAGTGAACGCATACCACCTCAGTCAACCGTGACCATGGGACCTGTAAAGGGCCCGAAACGTCGGTTTGTTTGAAAAAACAAATATACGCGATTTAAATCCGGTAAAATAGTTTCATTTCCTAAAAATAAGTAGTTTTTAAATATTTTTATTACACATGTATGTATGCATACTGCAGTCCACAGTCCTATACAGTCCACGCTCGATATGCCGTTTATTTCTTGATGCATCAGTTAGCTATCTAAGCCCTGGTTACGATATTTTTAACCGACAGTAAAAATGGAAGTAAATTAATTTGCTACTCCGCGAACCCAGTGAAGGTTAAATCCTACAAAATAGCTGCGCTTGTGTTGAATATTTTTTTCAGAACAGATGGAAATAATTAGGTACAACAACAGGGGTTGGATAATAAACGAACAATTGAATTTTGCATTATCACATTTATTACGGGTACTTTCGGGTTTCAACAATAGCCACACTGGGGGTAGCAGGGTATAACTACACCAACTGTTCTGAACGCGCTCACTTCATGAAACAGGCATCGAGGAAATACTTGGACTCTGCTCCTCACCACCTCAACCCCCTCGTGGTGGCTGCATCCAACTACGACCCCCTCAGGGAATACTCCCACCGCGTACGTAGGACGACGACCCTGACGACCCTATCACTCTCGCCACTTTGAAGGCCAACCAGATCGCTAATCAGTCCATCTCATCACGCACCAACCGTCCTCGCCGGCGAGGTCGTAGAGCCGCTCATCTCAGCAGGTACACTGGTAGATTCTCCCCTATAGCACGGACTTCTAACCTAACACTTTTTTGATAAAAGTCTACAATCTACTTATGGTGGCGAAATGAAGGCGCAAAATGTCTATAATAATAAATTGTTGATATCGTCTTATCGAAATGTTTAATAATAATAATAATAATAATAATAACGTACACACTCAACATAGCCCCGCACTAGGGAAACCCTGTGTCGCGGGTGCCATGGACACACACATAGACAACCACAAATTACACCCAAACTCACGAGAGAAATAAATGTAGGCCATACACATATTTCTCCCGGCCTGGGAATCGAACCCAGGACCTCTGCATGGCAGTCCGGCATGGTAACCGTTCGGCCACGGAGGCAGTTGAGGAGTTTATGGTAAAAATAAATTAAAATATATAACGCCTCATCTAATAAACGAAATTCCTAAAGAAATAAAAATATCGTTAAATTGTAAAAACATCAAACATAAATTAAATAATCTCAGTACAGAGTCCTAAAAAGGCCGACCTCAAAAGTACGTGGAATCACATATAATTACCAAGTTTTACTGAAATCGGTTACCGGAAAGTGCGCAAACCCGGATTCATCCCCTAGTTCGCCACTATACGGGAATTGACACAGGAGATAATAAAAATCGGTTCTCACTACTCAAAGTATATTGAGAGAAAAACGCTTTGAATTGGAGAATAGCAAAATCAACCATTAAAATGATTGCTCCTTATAATAAAGTTTAGGCGCTATTTATAAAAATGGATCTTCATGCGTGATCAGCCACCCTCAGAGGTGGATGATTTTCTTCAAAATTAAATGGGACCACTATGTAGGTACCCTCTTTCCAACAAAAAAATAGTCATGAAAATCGGTTCACAAACACCGGAGTTATCGCGTAACATACATACATAATAAAAAAACAGTCGAATTGAGAACCTCCTCCTTTTATGAAGTCGGTTAAAAATATTTTTTTAGAAAAAAAAAATTAATACGTGATAACCTTCTAATTTTAAGTAACAACATACATAGGTACTAACTTTGAATGCACTGTTAAAAGTACCGTTCACGACCATTTATTAGAATAGACTCGTGTTCAGCGGTGGGACGTACAGTCAACAGCACATCAGGCTACACATTGACGTATCTTGTTCCGTTGCACTGGAGGCGATTTTCGAACAAAAATGTGTAGTCTGATGCTCTGTTGTCCGTACATACAAGTTATTAACGACACTCAACACACAGCAGTACGAACGCACAACTACACATAGAAATTGACTTGTACGACGAATGAGCGGTATACGGAAAAACTTAGTTACGTTTATGTCATAATGGAACGTTTTGTTATTTTTATAAATAAATAAATTTACTTACATATTCTTGGTAGCATGCCCGCAAATGTTACATACGAAGTTAACGGCGTGGGTTTGACGGTGATGCGTTAAAACCTGCCGTTTAGTGCTGTAGCGAACGGCACATATTTCGCAGGAGAAGTCGCCGCGACTCTGAAAATGGTTTATCAAACAAGAACCTTCAGCCACTTTACGTAGCTGCAAATCTACTAAATATCAGCGGTCGTTAAAATCTCCTGTAAAAAACTAGAACACCTGAATATCTTTATGAAAAACTAATCATCATAATTTTTCTATGTGCTTGTTGCACATCTTTACTTTTTGGTTTTTAACGACTTCTTTTGCCGTAGCGCCATCTGTGACAAAATCCATGAAACTCACTCAGCCAGGTACCTTTACAGCTACCAGCAGCTGACTAGAAATGTCGCTTTAATAATTGTAATTTTTAAGTTCGTTGAAAAGGTACTTTAACTAAAAGTACTAAAGAGCTTTTCTGTCGTAGATAAAGACAAAGATCCACATGAAGGTCAAATACGAGTATGCTACAGAGACCGATCTGTCCGATCATGTGTACTTATAGTACCACAACAACTGCAGCTTTTCGGGGTAGTTTCAAATACTCGGCCTCAAAGTGCTGGAATAATATTCCACCACCGATACGCAACGAGACTTCCAAACCCAAATTCAAAGCACTGTACCGGCAACACCTACTCTCACTTCAAAAATCTGTGCAATGTGTTTTTATTTTTTTACGTGGTCTGTCTAGAACCGAATTGTTGATTGTTGTTGATTTAACCTATTCACATTATGTACATAATTATATTATACAGTGTGTAAATTTGAGACGGGGCAGCAAGGTCAGCTACCTTAATCGTTGTAGTTACAGGAAAACGGTTCTAGAAGGCTATCCATGAATTTTGATTATTGACATTCACAGATTTTGAAATCAGTACAGAGTACTAAAAAACTGACCTCAAAAGTACGTGGAAATTACGTCTATTTGCTAATTTTACTGAAATATCCCCTAGTTCGCCACTATACAGGATTTGACAATGGATTAAAATAATTGCTTCTTAAGAAAAATTTAGGAGCTATTTATAAAAATAAATGTTCATGCGTGATCAGTCACCCTTAGAGGTGGATAATTTTTTTCTGAATAAAATGGGACCACTTTGGTCCAACAAAAAAAGAATCATGAAAATTGGTTCACAAATCGGAGTTACCGCGTACCATAGATACAAAAAAAACATGCAGTCGAATTGAGAACCGCCTCCTTTTTTTGAAGTCGGTTAAACATATAATTCACATCCTCTGCAATTCCTGAAAATCCGTCGACTAATATTGTAGGTAAACATGTTTGACGTGACTCCACTTATGCCATTCGTCAATGAGAGGTGCGGAATGTGATTGTGTCTTCATTTACAATAAATATTTCGTATTTGACCTTCATGCAGATGATTGTCCTTCGTTTTTTACAACTGTTTTGCCAAAGCGCCATCTATGGCAAAAAAGTTCTTTAGTACCTATAGTTAAAGTACCTCTTCAATGAATTTAAAAATTACAATTGCTCCTTAAGAAAAATTATTAAAGCGATATCCCTAGTCTGCTACTGGTAACTGTAAAGGTACCTGGCTGAGTGAAGAAATAGATTTCCGACAGATGGCGCTACGGCAAAAGAAGTCGTTAAAAACCATAAACAAAAATCTGCAACAAGCATTGAGAAAAATTTGTAAAGTCCGCTAGTTCGTTTCGTGGCTTAGTTGGCTTAGTGTCTGGCGGGGTTTGCTGGAAGACGATGGTTCGAATCCAGCGGGATCGAAATAATTTTTTCTTACTGTTCGATTTTAATATAGTGATGCGCGATTGAAAAAGATTTCGTTATTCGACTCGTTGGTAATGGCGGATCCTGTCATTCGAATGTCAAATTAGTAACCTACTAATTGTCATATTCGAATGGTTTGAATGATCATTCATTACTAATTAGATCCATAGATTCCATAGAGCATTTCTGCTCGTGATCACCTAGCCCTCTCTGACATAATGGTAAATACTGTAGATATGACGAGGACAGGGGTATTTTGGTATGGATATGATGAATGAGGTGTTCCGATATAATTATCATACGCCTCGTGCACCCGACCGAATGGCATTGGCATTCGATATTGTTCATAATTCGACTCGAGTCGAATGATTGCGCTTGGATTCGACTTTGGCGAATGATTTGCCCATTCGAATGATTAGTGTTATTATAGTAACATTCAAAGTCGCGCATCCCTACTTAATAGCAGTAGAGCTCTTATCTATTTCTGCCGTCAAGCAGTAATGTCAACATTACCGTGTTCCGGTTTTGTAGGATAAGGGTGCTAGTGAAACTATAGGCACATGGGACTTGTCAACTTATGTCACTTGGTCGGTTGGTTGGTTCGTATTAATAATTATAATTTGCTTACCAACGAAAAAATCTAGTCACTATTTTAAACTACACTATTCGCAGTATACCTACCACGTCGTGAAACACAATATGACTCTTGTAACTGCTCTCTATGACAAAGCCTTTGTAGCAATATTCGCACTTAAAATCCGCCCGTATGTAGCTGGTAGTGTTCTTCCTGGACTCCAGTTCTTTTATCTGGTCTTCTTTACTTAACAGGATTATGTCAACTTGGTATTCTGGAAAAAAATAAAATAGAACTTCCGTTTTGATAGGCAATAGTCGTCACAATCGAAAGAACTTTGACACCTAAAGCACTATAGTGAAGCTTTTAGAATGAATTGGGTAACACTTTTGTCATTTGAACCAATTCTGCATCTAGAAGTCAGTGACTCACGCGTAATGTTATTTAGTTAGCAATGTATATTTCTGAACATTTTACAAATAAATTCATTATTTATTTATCGATCTCACAGGTATCTATATACCGCTCCTCCATCACGCATATCTCGGAGCCAAGGTCAACAGAATTCGGATGTTGAAAATTTTCTTAGCTCCAATATTGTTACTTCCTCGGGCTGGGTATGTTTGCCCTGGAGTGACATTCATGTAACATCGATTTATGAGGTGCAAAGGGATCTCTTTTTCATTGCAGAATCCATAATTTTTCTTAGTTACTCTGTTGTACCGCTAATCAGTAATGTAATATTACTGTGTTCCGGTTTTGTAAGATGGCTTGTAAAATGTATGACTCTTGGAGATTTTGTAATATCAAGTGACGGAACGAACAAGTGGTGCGCCTGATGGTAAGCTACACGCCTGTCCATAACAGTTGCAATGCCACTCAAAGCTTTAAATCGCAAAGATCTGAGGGGCACTGCGCCCGTCACCCTGAGACACAAGTTGACACGCCCTAAGTGCCTGTAATGTCGCCAGCACCCTTACCCTGCGAAACAGGAACACATTAATGCTGATATTACTGCTTGGCGGCAGAAATAAGGTAAGGTGGCATGGGTGCAGCGTCAATGCCCACCAAGATTTATTTATTTATTTTACTTAGGCATTTACAAAATTAGTAATTACAAAGTTTGTCAAGATCTTTGCGATTTAAAGGTCTCAATGGCACTGCACTGAAGCTGTGGTCTGACACCACTAAGTCTGATCAAATCAACAAATGCTGTTAGTTAATGAAGAGAAGAGAAGACGTGTGGCTACCGACTAAGGTTCTTGTGCATTAAAAAGCCCTGATAACTGCCTTCAGTGCCAAACACTGTAGAGAAGAGTGTAGTTTCTGCCACGAGGCGGATGAAACTCCTGTGCATCTCCTCACTCAGTGCTGCCTAATGGGCGTAAGAAGTTCCTTACTGGGTAGGCATAGGCCACATTCAGAGGACATAAAAACTGTCAGAGCCCGGAAAGTCCTTCAGTTCCTTAAAGCTGTTGGTCTTGGCTCGCAAACTGTAATTAGTGGTGATCACAATAGATCATTTAATGGTCGCAGTGTTCGGTGCGCAGAAATGAATCCACCCTAATAATAATAATACTTAATGAAGATTCACTTGTTTTAACAGTGAAGGATGGTTGTGGGAGCTCGTATATCGGTCAGACTAAACGAACAATTGTCGATCGTATGAAGGAACAGATCCGAGCAGTAAAAAACAATGATGCACAGAAGTCGGCTATAGCACAACATCTCACACAGACTGACACTAACCACTGGATCGAGTTGCATAGCCCAGGTACTCTCGACAGACGTCACTACATACCACGGTTGGTACGAGAAGCCATCGAGAGAAGTACAAAACATTTAACCGTGATGACGGTTAAACTGTCCAGTGCATGGAATCCGGTCCTTAGTGCGTGCAGTAATAAAAACAAAAACACCTCGAGTTCAGTTTCGCGTGTGGATACAGTGAGTGTGGTTTGTGTGAAAAAAGTGAGTGACAATGGTAACGCCACAACAAATCGCGATGAAGGTAGTCGTCGACAGCGCAAGAGGGTAGACAGACATGTCTGCTCTTAAAGCTGTCATCTGCCGCCGTCCAGTCAACCCGTGACCATGGAGCGTGCAACCGTTCCGATGTATCGGGAAAATAAAAACAAGTCATACCGTGGTAAGAAACCTGATACTAGTGATAATCATTTAGTGAATAACCACGAAAGTCTTCAAATCTATATAGTGAAGGATACATCGTCCTCAATCCGTATAGGGTCCGCAGATAAAAGCCTAAACCTTTTACGGAAGACCCATGATGCAATGGAAAAAATGTCGGTAGATGAAGACGAAACATAATAATAAAATTACGTACCTTTGGAAAAGTTGTCCATATTATCTTTAGAAAAGAAGTTGTCGTTCTTTGGTTTCGCGAATAGGGGCATGAATTCTGGTAATATCGACTTCGAGTCAACGCTTTTTAAACTTTTCAGTTCTTTGGTATTCTTTTTATTAATATTTTCAATGTTGCTTTCGGAATTATCTTCTTGTGCACTGGTTTCTGTTACAGAATTTCCAATATTACAATTTTCTTCTTTAATATTAATTTCTTCCGTTTTCTTTCGTGAATTTCTTAGTTTCTTTACTCTCTTTTTAATTACACTTTTCTTTTTATTATTTGTATGTAATTTATCATCAAGATCGTGTATATGTTCATTTTCTTTAATAAAAATACTATTGTCTAAGAACTCATCATTATTCGAGGATGCATCATAATCAAAATCACTTGTGTTTTCAATATCATTGTTTCCTAATATAATTGTTTGGTCATGTTTACTATTTATAAGTTTATCCTTTTCTATATTATCACTTTGGTTATGTAAAGTTATGTCTCTGTTATTTATTAGTCTGTGTTTAGAACCGAGTTCATCGGAATGAGTTTGTCTGTTTTTCTTCTTACAATTTTTTTTGTCTTTATTTATACCTTTTTTCTCTTTAGCGCCTACAGTATTATGATTTTGGACAGTGTTATTATATTTAATATTCATTGAATAATCACTACCATCATAAGTGCTAAGTGAATTAATGATGCTTTTGTTACAATTTGATTTATGTTCATTTTCAATTGAAGAATTATCATTAAAATTATTATTTGATGTCATTGAATTTTCCGATATTTCTATTTGAAAATTCAACGGTTTTATAGTGAAAACTTCAAAAGGTTTGATGTCACCATCCTCTGTAGGTATTTTTAATGTATGTATAGATGTTTTTGATAAATTTAATGATAGGCTTTTACGGTTTAGTCTTTGTATGCTTTCTGTTGATATCTGAAATGAAAAAAAAACTATTCAACATTCTTTTGTAGGTAGAATTATAGAGATGTGTAAAGTTTTCATACTGAATATGTATTTATTTACAGCAAAAGCAATTTTTATTATTTCTATTAAGTAATATTTTTATTATTTGACGACTCTGGTAGAACAGCGGTTAGCACTGTGTACACTAGACGATAGATGGTGGTCCCTGACTCGTTCCCCTAAACTTTTCTAAAATTATTCTATATTTGGTGTTTTGAGTAGTGTTAATTTCCAAACTTAATGTTACTGTTACGGACGAAACTCTTGGCACATGTGACGGACGGGCGAGGTGCGCAGCGTCATTCAGCACGTGAGACTATCTCGCGAGATAATTCACGCGCTCTGATTGGCCGGGAGCGCCACCGCGACGTTATTAACTAGGCCGGTACGGTGTGGGAGACACCGTACCGATACATAATAGGTATCGGATTAGATACCAATACGATTTTAAAATGAAGCCAAAATTGTAAGTAAGATTAACATAGAAATAAGTTACTTCGATCATCAAGTTTCACGTATCCGGAGTGGTGTACGTAGTCCTTACTTAATTTTTTTTATCTACTTCATTCTGAAATCAACCTTGTTGGCTATAAGCAGATGGGTTGTTGTATAATGACAGAAAAGGTGCTACTCCTAGTGGAGCCCAGCCCCATAGATTGTACAGTCATGTATTTTGTTGACTATAGTCCATTTTATTAACATCAGTAAAACAAGGTGTTAAACATCTTAGGTTTTCGCAATTGTTACATTTTTTCGGAATTAAATCGCGTATGGTCACGGTTGACTGTCAACCTGAAAAGGGCCCGAAACATTGATTTGTTTGAAAAACAAATATACACGATTAAATGTTAAACAGTTAAACTGCCTCTGTGGCCGTACGGTTACCATGCATTACCATGACTGCCACGAAGAAGTCCCAGGTTCGATTCCCGGGCCTATATGGCCGTGTATTGCCTACATTTATGTCTCTCGTGAGTTTGTGTGTAATTTGTGTTTGCCTGTGTGTGTCCATGGCACCCACGACACAAGGTTTCCCTAGTGCGGGGTCATGTTGAGTGTGTGTGTTAAGGTTTTAAGAATAAAACAGTGAAGAAAAACTAACATCTGCTACCTTGAAAAATTTTCCTTTCTGCAAAACACTGACAATACATTGATGGAAACACTGCATAAAAGTGTATTATTTATATATTTATTACATATAATACACAATTTATTTCATGGAGCCGCCCATATGTTGGTAACATTACTCACCACACTATCTTTCTGTAACTGTTTTAAAGCCAGCTTTGCCCCCTGGCATCTTGCTCTGAATGCTGCAAACTTCTGCATCTGGTAATGGCAGTAAGTGCAGATGTAATGAGGAATACCATCTTGAGACGAAAGCTGAAACAAATATTGTGAAAGCATTTTAAAACAATTAATAGAAAAAGGAAGTAAAGCAATAAATAAGTACTAATAAACAGAAAATATTCCTTTGATCCGGCCGGATTCGAACCAACGTCTTCTAACATACCATGACAATACCAAATAAGCCACGGAACGAACCAGCAGACCTCACTAATTCTTCTATGTGTTTGTTGTTGTGTCTTTGTATTTGGTTTTTTCAATGACTTTTTAGCCGTAGCGCCGTCTATGAGAAACCTTAAGTATTTCATCACCCAGTTAGATACCTTTACAACTACCAGCCCAGGGTAGAGATGTCACTATTCATTGTATTTAAATTTTTATTGAATTGATATTCAATTATTTTTTAGGTGAAATTACTCCACTAGCTTGTTATAATTATTAATACAAAGATCGAGCACTCAGAAAAAAATTCCTTCGATCCGGCCGGATTCGAACCGACGTCTTCTAGCATATCGTGCCAGTCACTATACCAACTAAGCATAGTTGTTTTAATAATTATAATAATAATTTAAATTTTATAATAAACACTTCAAGTTATCCCCTGTAATATCCCCGACAACTGGCTACAAAAGAGTGAATTAGTGCTAAAAAAGCGAACGCAAAAACTGCTCGTCTATAATCAAATAAATAAATAAATTTTTAAGTTTTTCAGACAAAGGAAGTGAGGTATTATGAAAACAGGACAGAATTTTTTTTTAACATTTTGTAATTAATTGTTGTAAATCATTGTTTCAGCTAAAATAGACTTAAAAACATAATTTCGTTTAAGTCTAATCTTATTATTGAGAAAATTGAAAAATTCAATTGATTTTTTTAAACTTTGTTATAAATAGTTTTTAATGCTTGTTTTTCATTGTTAAAAATAATTCAGTATTATCATTTGTTTGTTTTAAAAGTATATATCACTAAAATGCAAATTAATAGAGCATAATGACTTTACCCTTCATTGCAGTGTCTTCAAGGGTGTGGTCTGTGTTTTCAAAAACGTAAACAATGATCAAAATAAAATTTAAACACAAACATTAGATATTTAAAGTTAGTCTATTTTAAATTAGTGCAGATACTTACTTGTATTGCTGTGAAAACTAGAAGATCACTTGAAAACTGGGTTGTTCGCAAATCAAATAACTTTATATCGGTAGCTAAACATCCTCTACAAGCCCAGACGTCTTCCGATTTTATTGTTATTTCATTTTCAAGCTCCATTTTCATTAATTTTCTATATTTCTTATATATAACGGATAAATCAACACAATTTTATTTATTTTCGTGTTGACACCGAACCGATGAACAAATAACAAATCATATATTATATGTCAATATTTTTTATTATGACAGCAGAACACTGTTTTTCTACACCGTTTTGAAACAGTCTTTGTAAACGTTTAATTCGTTATTTTTGTGCGGCAGTGTGTTTTTCATTGTGGAAGACGAGAATAGCAATGCAGTTGTTTCATTGCAGTCTTCTTTGTTTATTATATTATAATATTGCGCTAATTAAGTGTAAAAAATACATGTAAACAAAAAAAAATCAAAAAGGTACCCAAAAAAATTATTTATACCTTGCGTTTTGTGATACTCGGAAAAATGTTCAAACATCGCTATATTCTCATTTATTACAACAAGTTAATAGTACCCACATGTAAGACAATATTCTATTATCTTAGTTTAATAATTCACCCTACATTAAACATTATAAAATTCCTTCACACAAAGAAAATTGTTCCTGTTTAGTGCGTCAAGCGATAGAAGCTTAAAAGACCGAACATTAAAATGCAATTCAACAAGAATAGCAAAATAATTGTATCTTAGATATGGAGACAAACCTTCGGGTTTCACCAAAAACCCTTGGTGACGAGTCTACCGACAATGGGGTGACCATTACGCGGGCTCGTAAAAGACTAAGCAGAGCAGCTCGCAAAAAAATCTCACGGCTTCTGGCTGCCAATGTTGACTATAAAGACGCTATAGAACTTGCAGTTCGACCTTCGAACGCTATTCCGATACCGAAACCAGAGGCAAAGGCAGTAAAACGCGGTTTGAAGGAGAAGTACCATGTACACGCTAAAACTCCTCGACTCTCGATGCCCACACTGCCCATCACTACCATTTCTAAACCTACCTACAGTGAGACAGGTCCCTTGCGTAGTCGGAATTTGTACCCCATGACTGAGGACCAAATGATTCAGGTGCACCATTGTCAAGTTAATGTCATTGCAGAGATCCAACCCAGAGCATCAGGACCTAAGTTCCTTGGCTTCTCGCACAAGTCAGGCTACATCCTTATAACTTGCAAAGATTGGGCAAGTGCGGACTGGCTTTTTGAAGTCGTCGCTAGAATCAAGCCATGGCCTGAGGCGGTACTCTCTACAATGCAGGAGAATGTTTCCAAAACTAGCCATAGCCAAAACCTATATTCCAAAATCTAAATGCGTCTCCGTGCAAGATGGTGTAAGTTTAATTAAAGCACAAAATAAAGGTCTGAACACTGATATTTGGAAAGCCCTTAACACGAAGGAGGACTTTCATGGCTGGATAGTAACCCTCTCCCTTGATGACTTCTCTATGGCTGCACTCGGGCATTGAAGTGTCAAGTCAGCCTTGGTTTCAGGCAGGTCACTCATAATCAGGGGAGGCTCTGACATGAAGGGGTTATACACTGAACAACATTTCGCTAGCTCTGTAAAAACTGTACCGCAGTGTACCAGCCTAACAACCAGTAACAGTAGTTCAAATTGGGACCAGAGCAACCTGAACTGAATAATACAGTCAACGTATTGCTACTGATCTTCGAGGTGCCAGGTCATGCATGTTACCAGCTGCTAGAGCTCGTAACCATGCGAGTGGTGATGGTGGTAACAGTTGTGAGTAAGGACTTTTTAATCTAGGAAGACAGCCCTCTATGCAGAGCGTGCATGGAGGAGGAAACTGTTGCACACATCCTACTACAATGCTCTGGTGTGGCCAACTACAGGGCAAAGTACCTTGCAATGCCGATATCACCAAAGTCTTCAGCAAACCCAAGCGGGCGCTGAGATTCATGGAAGAGCTTGGGTGGCATGAGTAGGACCCTGCACCACCACATGAAATATAGGCGCCTGGACGTCAATTTGCGGACAACAGCCAGTTACACCATAATATACCATAACAGTTGAGAATGTGCTGGAACACAACAAACCTCATTATCCTGCCTAGATCCGTCACAAATTGTGAGGCAGATCTTCAGCTGTCAATAATACCTATCTAGGCCAAAAAAGTGAACATCATTTAGACAAACCTCTATATACAAATTGTAGACTGTTGTTTTGTGAAAGATTCTTTTCAACATATGTAAAGAAACCTTGATCTTGTATTGTTCTCAAATAGGCAACCTTTTTCAATCCCGAGGATTTGTTTCTAAAACCTTTTGGCAAACTATTTCTCCCTGATAACAACAAGGTCAGAGTAACTATGTGCTCAACCTTCCATCCTGAAGAGAAACCGACCCCAAAGAAGAGCTGTGGCAGAATGTGCCAGAAGATGCAGCATACCTACTGGAATGCAACAGCAATGCTCACCATACTGTCTTGCACGCCACAGACAACAATAGGGGTGAGCTTTTATAAAACTAATCTCCAAACATTTCAAGTTTAAGTAACAAAGGTATGCCAACCTTTTACACAATCTAGCTTAAATGCATTAAACATTATTGACTGACATGTAAAGTTTGCCAATTTAAATCTTAGCATTGATTTATACAGTGTCATTGGTGTGTTTCATGATATTTCATTCATACTATCCCTCAAACAACATGTTCCATTGTCTATAGAGTACTGCTGTCCAAAACAGTTAGCAGCCTTGAACTCAGTGAAGTGAAAATCAAAGAAGCTTGGCAATGATTCTCTTGTAGAGTCGGAATCTATGAAATATCGAGCACCGCAGAAAAGTGGCCAGCCAGTTGGTTTTTTTGGATACATTCAGAGAGTCTGCTTAGGAACTTTTCAATTTAGTTCCTGCATCAGTCGACTAGTTAATCTGGAACACTCCATCCTGATGTATTTCATGTACCACCTATTTGTACATGAACGACTGGAATATACACAAAAATTTAGGACTATTCAAGGCTTAGAGTGAGTAGGCATTCTTTTCACAAATATATCATCGGTCACATGATCACTCACCATTAGGTGAGATTATATATAGGTCCAAGTGTGTGTCTGTTATATACATACAGAAGGTTATAATACTAACTACCTCACAGGGCTATATTACTAACATCGTAAACAACACCTTTGTAAAGTTTGTAGGTAAAATTTTTACATTTGAAATTGTCATTTTTTTAAGCTAGTGCTTGTTCACTATGCTCAGCTCCCTGAGAGGAACGAGCAAGAAACTCTAGGGATTGTTCTTTTCAAATAAACTTCAATGCTATGGAATACACTTTGAATCATAATTGTGTGGAATCAAGACCTATGTTGTCTTTCCATACATCTTTATCTAACAAATACTCTTAAAATTTGTAACATGACTTGTCAATTAAAATACTTTAATATATGCTCCGGATTCTTGTTGTTAAAATGTATACAGTTCCCCATAAACGAATCGTTTACCTTAGTTAAACGAAATCGTGGTACCATGAGTTTGCACTTAGTTCTAAGATTAATATTATGGATATCTTCTTATTTAATGAAATTATGTAAATTATTACGCGCATACAAAATATTTGAGTAAATGTACTGTGATGCCACAGTCATGATACCAGTCTCCTTAAACTTTTTTCTGAGAGAAACCCGAGAACCTAAACCGTACACAGAACGAATCGCTCGATTTTCCAACACAAATATGGTTTGTATATCTGACGCTTTACCACACAAGGTAGGTGATACGTAAATACCAGTCCGATGCAAAACGTAGGAGCGGGAGTGGAGAACGCCGGTTAGGCCGCTTGGACGTTTGCACTTACTATCAAATACAGATCTAGAAAGTTTCAGATAGCACACCAAAAACTTAAAAGTTTATTTCTCTTAAATTTATTGTGTTTTGTAATAAGTCATGGAAAAAAATTGTTTATGATGTTAGTAAAATAGTCCTGTGAAGTTTTAGTATTTTACAAATAACCCTATGTAAAAAAAAATATATGCATCACTTTTACTATGGACACCCTACTGGAATAGACAGTTTCATAGAATAGGGTTCCCATAGTAACAGATGCTAAGTTTTACGTCCTGCACAAGCTTAAAAGGATGTCAGATAATTTTAGACCTTATTTACTAAATGTCAAAATGTTCAGTAAATCAATGCAAAAATGGACTCAGATGGAAAGAAAGAAGAAGAAAAATATTTATTCCATAAAGAAACAACACAGCGTACATACTTTTAACAATTACGAAACATGATTATAACGTTTAAAAAAATCGAAATAAAAAGGGGAAAAAAAACAACAATTCGATAATAACACACTTAATAGGAAGGAAATAACTTTAACAATAAATAATAATACGCCATAACGTGAGCATGCTGTACTGCTACGAAATCCGTCATCCACTCAGCTTGGGGTCGTCTCACTGCATGTACGGCGATGCTAATTTTCAGTGGATCCGGCAACAGGGGACACAGTAAACGACACAGATGTGTACAATTTGATATAATTATGGATAATAGTATAATTGTAAAATAAAAGTGTAATTGTAAACAATAGTGCAATTGTAAATAATAAAGCAACTGTAAATAATAGGGTAATTGTAAATAATAGCTCAATTGTGACACTGTAATAATTAGCATTCAGAAATTCTATTAGTACTAGCCAAAGTTAACAATAAAACGCCCACATATCCGACACATCGGCAGCTATGCTGGACATTGCTGAATATTAAACGGCACAAATACGCCTTAAGTAATTTAAAAAAAGTAAAACGTGACGAAAAGATATGAGTAACTTTTACTATGGACACCCTACTGAAATAGACTGTTCCATAGAAAGGGTTCCCATGGTAACAGATGCTTAGTTTCACGTCCTGTACAAGTTTAAAAGGATGTCAGATAATTTTAGACCTTACTTACTAAACGTCAAAGTGTTCAGTGAATCAATGCAAAAATGGACTCATTCAGTGATATAAGCAGTAACATACTAGTATGCCGAGTGTGCATATCTACAGATGTCAAATTGTACAATTTATTGGACCACCGGCTTGCCGAAACATTTCGAGACTTCACTGGGATTCCGGTAAGTAATCTCCCTCCATTTCATTTTTTGTTTTTTTTTTTTTAAATAATGTGCCGAACAACCATACCACTAGATATACTGTAGCAGTCTCCTAATAATACATTACCACAGGGAATTCTCTACTTTTAGATCAGGTAGTGGGTGTAGTGGTCCGGGACAAGACCGTTACATGTACGTCCACGAATTCAGCCATTGAGTAATAGATGAAATGACTTGAACAAATAAGTGAATTCCCTTCACTTGAATTATTTCTTATTAGATTCGGTTCTATTGAGACTTCCAAGTACTCTAAATGTAGTATGACTTGAGTATTGAGTAGAGTTCTGGAATACGACCCTTAGAGTTCTACTTTAATATAAAGTGGTTTTTTCTTTCAGATATCCTCTTCAGACAATCTACCAAAGTACATTTGTACCTTCTGCAGACATTTGTTGATAAAATCATTGACGTTCAGATGCAAGTGCCATGATGCTCAGTTGCTGCTGCAGGAGCACTGCTCGGGAGGGTTTACAGTAAGTAATTACAGTATAGCATATGTTATTGTAGCAAAATGTAAATTGTACTAACTAAACTTTTATCTGATAATTATTATAATTAACTGATAATAATCATTCCAAATGACTGATAATTATCATTCTAATTGACTGATAATTATGATTATAACTGTTTTTGCATATACATGTATGTGTATGTGTATGTATGTTCGTATTTATATTCATATATATATATGTATGTGTATGTATGTTCGTATTTATATTATGTGGCCATACTCCTTTATACGATTTACTCTCACGTTATAGTTTGCAAAATATGTAGTTTCTTTCTATTTTAGATTAGTTATCGTAGTAACAAATTGAGTTGTGTTGAGTCTGTTGGTATTTGAATAAAAAATTCATGGTATTTACTTACATAATAATTATATTAATAAATTATCAATATGTCATAAATTATGAATATGATACATAAATTTGGGTAAGCATCTCACATTTTTATTATTTAGTCATTCCATAACACACTATTTTATAAACTCCAGGGGCTTCACATGATACCAGCGCCGTAGCTGCTCTCAGCCACGGCATATATTGAGTGGTGCCCATTCAGTATCTTAATTTTAGTTTTAAATTTATTTTTGTTTCTTTTGTAAGTATGTACAATTTAAAATTAATGGTACTGAATAAAATTTTCTTTCTTCTTTCTGTTTTTACAAATTATCTGTCACAACAAAACGGACACTTTCACTTCTAAAAACAGACATTATTACTGCAGGAGCACCGAAATTGTAATATATTTACAAACGTTTTTATTCTGACTATCAATGTTTTTTTTTTGTTTCAGTTTACAAAAACATCAGTTTTAGAAAGCTTAGGCAAAAAAGTACCTCTAAGCATTTGTAAGTTAGAAAATATAAACTATGTGGAAAATAGTAAAGAAAATCATATACCTATAGAAGAAATCAAAGTAGAAAACGTTGAATTCGAAAATGAAAATTATGATCCCATAGATAACGATAATTTTCATGATTTAAATGATAATTTTAATGATAAGTGTGATAGTTTTCGTGATAATGATCGAGACAGTTTAGATGATATACCATTAAGTGAACTTAAAAGTGATAATTTAAAAGATAATATTATGTATAATAATTCGAAAAAGAAAAAGAAGACATATAGAAAGGTACAAAAAGATAAGATTGAAGAATTTACCAAAACGTACATTGAAAACAACGATTGTAATAAGAAGAAATCATTTTACAATTATATCCTTAACAAATATATTAAAAGTTATACTAAACCAAAAGAGTACAATAACATCAAAGATGCTGTAAAGGCGGAAAACTCAATTTTCATTTCCATAGACAATGGTGAAATTACAGAAGAGAATATTAATTTAAATGATAAAATAAAATCCATAAACCCTATAGATACAAATAAAAGAAAATTCTACGATTTCTTAATTCAGAAATACAGTAAGAAAGCTACCGAAAAGAAAAAAATCACCGACATAACGCGCATGCGTCCTGGTAAAGTGAAAAAACAAAAACAGTACAAATCGAAATCCATAGAGGAGTTGCAAAATTTCTCAATAACCTATCAAGTGGAGATACTGCAGTTAACAAGAGAAGAACAAGTACAAGATGTCTTAAGCAGGAAAGAGACAGAAAAATTCCAAAAGGCTGCGTTCAAGTGTGAAGAATGTTACAGGGGCTTCACTGCAGAGAAGGCTTTTCAAAATCACATGGCTATACACGATCCTGTAAGTATGGTGATAATATTATACGAGTAGTTGTAAAAACAACCTCCTTTTGTAAAGTCGGTAAAAAAACCAACTGCATTTTTGTGGGTATGTTACGCATTTACTCCGATATATGGGTAAATGGGACCAATACTGGGTACCCTATCACGAACTCGAATTTTTTTCCCGAAATAACGTTTGGTCGAATTTTCATTTGTCAACTTTCATCCTCAATATTTTAAAACACGCGGTGAAGTCATTCAAAGGCAAACTAGAGCAAAAATTATGAATCTCTTATACCAACCTCGTTCGACATACTTTTAAAATAAAATTGACAAAATGGCTTTTGACACATTGCTTCTATAGTAATAAAGAATACTTAGAATTTACAAATTCATTACATTAATTAGAAACTACAGAGACTAAAGAAACATTGAATCCTATTAATATTTGCACATCTGCTTGCAGGTTGAATACAATGTACCTAATTTTACTTAAGACCTTTGTAATTACTGTATTCTGGCAAATAAACGTATTCTATTCTATATTCTATTCATTACACCGAAAACCGAATTATAACGAAACAGTTGTTCTTTCAGTATATATTGGATGTTTATCGCAAAAACACGATTAGGTTCGGTTAGGTTAGGTTAAGTTAGTTTTAAAAGAAAAAAAACATTTTCCACTCAAAATTACTTTCGAGGTTATGAAAATTCGAGCTAACGTTATTTCTGGAAAATGTCATTTCGGACTACGGATAGGTAGATAGGACTGAGGTAGGAAAGGGGCCAACAAAAAAAGAATCATCAAAATCGGTTCACAAATTCGCATATAATCGCGTAACATACTCACACTAGAAAAAAGACAAATACCATCGAATTGAGAACCTCCTTTTTTTAAAGTCGGTTAAAAACGAATAACGTGTAAAAATTCCAGAGCATCGGTCCCCATGCGTGTGAAATCTGTCACGTTCGTTTCCCGAAACGAGGCCGGCTCACGAAGCATATGCAGTTGCGTCATAAACTGAAATTCGTCTGTCAAATATGTCATCAAGTAACTAGAAACAGGTCAGTGCCAGTAACATTATCATATATATAGTAGCAATAGAGTTCGTGATGTAAGCATTACTGCGTTCCAGTTCGGCAGGGTGAAATTACAGGCACATGGGACTTGTCAACTTATGTTTCTGGGTGACGAGTGCAGTGGCAGTGCCCATAAGATCTTTGCGATTTAAAGCCCTGAGTGACACTGCAACTGTTATGGACAGACGTGTCGCTTACCACAAGGCGCACGACGTGTTCGTCCCGTCACTTGATATTATAAAAAAGTTCCACGTGAAATATGTCAAAAAAAATTTTTTTTTAATCCATTTTTGTACTTCACTATTTAAGACAGAATATACTTTTGGATTACACATATTAAAAGTGTCTAGATCAAACACGTTTTCGTCAATTACTGAAAATCAGTTTTTTTAAATAAATTTTTTTGAATATTGATGGATTTTTGGTCAATTTCGTAATTTAAAAAAATAATTAATAAATATTGTAATCACATATTTAAAAAACATACCTTGACCCTAGACATTTTTGATCGGTGTATATGGGGTTTGACATTTTACCGGAAACCGGATTCATCCCCTAATTTGCGACCCTTTGGAGGTAGAATATTTTCATTAAATTTAAATAATAATAATAATAACGCACACACTTAACATAGCCCCGCACTAAGGAAATACATAGACAAATACAAATGACCTACATTTATTTATCTCGTGAGTTTGGGTGTAATTTGTGGTTGTCTATGTATGTGTCCATGGCACCCGCGACACAGGGTTTCCCTAGTACTAATATGTAATAGCTAATATGTTGAGTGTGTGCGTTATTATTATTATTATTAATAATAATGTTGATTCAAATGAACTTGACAATCTTTCACGGCTCATAAGTCCAAGTGAAATGTGTCGACTGCTTCGGGGATGGAGTGTCAGGGGTTTTATTTGATAGTCTCATAGTGGTTTATTTCTTTTTTCTTCTGCAATATTACTTTCTTTTTAAATAAAAATTTTTGATGTTATCTTGCATAATAGCTGTATATACCTTTAATGGTGTAACATACTGTATAAAAGAAGGATTGCGAAAGCTGACCCAATAATTATAAAATCAATGAAGACCTGTTTATGAATTTTGCTAGTATAATTTTACGTTCTAGTTTATGCCAAGTTATCAATGTATTTTTAGAAGTCGGGTATAAAGATATTGTAAAACAATGTAGTTTAGAATAAATGCAATAACTCGAACGCAATTGATTCATTCCGACCATAGATTAGGTAACATTCTTGTGGCGTACGTTGTATTTTAAGCATGATTGAATATTTACCTACATAAAGTATTGGTTATTTTATAGTACACACATAAAACATTAAAGCTATAAAATGTCTAATCAAGTAATCAATTTTACAAAAAATGTTTAGATAATATTTAAATGAGAGATAAGAAAGTTGTTAGCAAAGGAAAGTTTTGAAAAGGGCCTTCTTACTAATTTCAATGTCACATTGAGATTGAGAACAGTGTGACCATTTGTGGCAGATGGAAACAAACTGAAAACTTGTTGTTTCTGCTACTACGAACAAACATAACCTATGTCAACTTTATAACCCCAGCTCCTACAGGCTGTACTCAATTAGCGTTTTTGATGCTTTGATAATGAATCACAAGTATTAATAGGTCTCTTTAATACACGTCGTCAAAAATACTGCGTCACAAAATACACGGAATGTCGCCATCCTTCTTTGTTTTAGTAATTTCACAAAATACAAATGAATATAACGATAGTAAAATACAACAATTCTTTACTTTCTTGTAACTTTTTCACAAGTTGCTAAATAATTTAGTAAAATGTGCTCTTCTGTTACAGTACATGCGCTAGACATCATTACAAATGCCACGCCGGTTTTAAGTACGAATGTGAACATTGTGGAAAAGTTTTCAGGTATGTTTTCCGTCTTATTTCATTTACAATGAAATAAATTATTATACATAGTGTACGTATGACAAAACTTATATCGACTGTGAACTGGCAACCGGTACTATCTCAGTTTTGACAACTACAGGATAAAGAAAAAATCATTTATATAGCATCTGGTTTATTAAATAAAAATGCGTAGTGTACATTCTTATATGTGTAATAAAAATATTTAAAAACTACATATTTTTATTATATAAACCAGATGCTGTTTAAATGACGCAAACAATTTTTTCATCACCTGTAAAGTTGTCAAAATTGAGATAGTACCGATTGCCAGTTCACAGTCGATATGGCATATGAGGTGACAATTATCATTGATATTTTCTAAAATTAATTGGATCAACAAATTGCTATCATAAGCAATTTACTTAGCAGTAGAGAAAGAATTCGTCCAGGGAAGTACTGCCACCTTACCTATTTCTGCCGCCAAGCACTAATGTGAGCATTACTGCGTTCCGGTTTTGAAGGGTAAGGGTGCTGGTGAAATTACAGGCACGTGGGACTTGTCAACTTATGTGATAGGCGCAGTGGCAGTGCCCCTAAGATCTTTGCGACGCAAAGCTCTGAATGGCACTACAACTGCTATGGATAGGCGTGTCGCTTACCACCAGGCGCACGACTAGTTCGTCCCGTTACTTGATGTTTTAAATAATGTCAGTACAAATTACTTATATTAAAAAATTTAGGTTATATTAAAAACTACCCCAAAAATTCGTGGAATTACATCTATTTGCCAAGTTTTATTGAAATCTTACCGGAAAGTGCGCAAAATTGGATTCATCCCCTAGTTTCCCACCCTTAGAGGTGGAATATTTTCTTCAAATTTAAATGGGACCAATGAGGTACCCTTTTTCCAACAAAAAAAGATCATCAAAAACGGTTCACAAAAACCGGAGCTAGTTAAAAATGAGGATTGATAGTTATCGGATAATTATCGAAGAAAATAAATCGAACCCTGCCAATTATAACTATAAAAAATAACCATTTGTTATGTTCCATTTTGTTACAGCAAATACGGATCTCGCATGAACCACATTCGCATCTTTCACGGCTCTGTAGCCTGTGACATATGCCAGGAGTCATTCTCGTGTGAGACTGGGCTGGTTGCGCATAAAACTAAGGCACATAGAGAGGTAAGAAGGACACTATTTGTAGTTGATAATTATCCTGAACTGATACTCGATGAAGATGACCTTCCCTAACCAAAAACTTCTTAATTGTTTAGCAATACATCATTTAAAACTCCATACAATAAAGTGAAAGTATTTTTTTAAACTCACCATTTTCGACTGTCTTGCTTCGGGTGAAACGGTATTAACACCCTATACGTTGTTGGTAATTGGAATTGTGTTAAATTTATTAACAACCAATCTTGTACTTATTAAATAGTTGCAATTACCTCGTAGTTAACAGTGAGTTAAATGCAATTGTGAGGTAATTGCAACTATGACATAATAATAATAATAACGCACACACTCGACATAGCCCCGCACTAGGGAAACCCTGTGTCGCGGGTGCCATGGACACACACATAGACAACCACAAATTACACCCAAACTCACGAGAGAAATAAATGTAGGCCATACAAATATTTCTCCTAGCCCGGGAATCGAACCTGGGACCTCTGCGTGGCAGTCCGGCATGGTAACCGTTCGGCCACGGAGGTAGTTAATTAATAAGTTTATCTCATAGCTGCAACTACCTCACACTTGCAATTATTACATAATTGCAACAATGAAGTAATTACAACTATGAGGTAATTGCACATAGTAGCAAGTACCTCGTATTGCATTTATCTCATACTTGTAATGACCCCATACTTGCAATTACCTGACGATAGTAATTTTTTTAACGCATACACGCATAGTCCCGCCCTAAGGAAACTGTATCGCGTGTGCCATGGACACACACTTAGTCAACCACAAATTACACCCAAACACACGAGAGAAATAAACATAGGCCATACAAATATTTTTCCCGGTCCGAGAAATGAGCCCGGGACCTCCGCGTGGCAGACCAGCATGAACCATTCGGCCACGGAGGCAGTTAATTAATAAATTTATCTCATAGCTGCAACTACCTCACACTTGCAATTATCTCGTAGTTGCAATTACCTCAAACCATTGAGCATACAACCAGAAACAGAGACGAAATCTCATTTAATTTGTTTGAAAACTATTCTGCCAAATCATTACGGTGACAACTCTGCTCCGATTGGCCAGCCCGAATTCGAAACAATTGACGGGTAGTCGTCAATTGTTTCACTTCAACTCGCCATGTTTAACTTGAGCTTTGCTGTAATGGACGAAAATTGCAAAATTACGTATTTAATATTTAATTACCGATGAAATGTGATTCCGTTTGTTTTGTAATTAGGTCTTTTGCTGTTTTTCCCACACCCGGTGGTGTGGGAAGAACAGCCCCCCATGGTCAGAGATATTATTTTTAGTACAACAAATACAGAATATTTTTGGAATATACGAAGACGTACACACAGGCCAGTTGTTGATGCTGTCCTACTTCAGCTTTCTAATTTGTGATTTCAGCGCAAACGAGAATTGATATTTAAAAGTAATATAGGGCCTATTTGCCTGATGAGTTGCCAGGGATGGATGGCCCTTATTTCGTCTCTATTTCTGGTTATATACTCGGTGCCTCAAACTTACAATAACGCTGGTCGACTACGGAAAAGAACTTTAAACAAAACTGTCAATTACTCCATTCTACTATTAACTAACAATTTTAACATTTACAGCTTTTCAAATGCGTCACATGCGGTGTTCAGTTCCACAATCCTCACGCGTTAAAGAAACACGCGGACACCGCTCCTGGCGGAGTCTGTGGACCGCATATTAGGTAATAATTTAAACCTTGTTTGCATAACATAGGTGATGATATTTTTACTTTATTTCATACATATTATCACGGACGAAAAAAAACAATGGATATAATATATTATCATAATATAAATATATATATTTTTTGTTATTCACATTTAAATTTTATTGTACGATAATTAGCCCCGCAGTCTTCATTCTACACCTAGGCTAGGGTTTGCTGTAAGAAATCACTTCTAGAGATAAGCTCACCTTTGTATATCGCACATGACAACTATCTCAAAATGTAAGGCTTTAAGTTATATTACCTATTTAGTTTTAAAGCGACAGTGTTGTCCTGTCACTTTGAAATTAAATCGTATATGAATGACACATCAATATCACATAATTTTGGGAGATAAATTATTAATGTAACCATTGACTTACAAATAAATGGACGACGGGTCTAATACACAAATCACGAAAAAAATGTCCCAAGTCAACCTATTTAAACGTAGTGACATGTAAAGGAATATGAAAAAGCTAAAACGTTGAATTTAAATTGTAATGTCATCGCAGTACTGTCTAATTTTGCTTGCTTCGCTGTCAGTCGAACAAACGAAGACTAAAGCGTGAATGACGCTCTGTATACGATTTTAACGCCCTATAAGTTCGGACACTTTTTAGCGCGGACCCGACGTCCATGTAATTGTAAGTCAATGAATGTAACGCAATTTTCAGGTAAAATATAATATAACGCAATTTTTGAGATAATGCAATGTTAGTTGTCAAGTGCGTTATGTCCTTTGTAACTTGCTTCATGTGTCTTTTCTTTGCGCAGTAAAGAATTATTATTATTATTAAGTTGACAAGTCCCATGTGCCTGTAATTTCACCAGCACCCTTACCCTTCTAAACCGAAACACAGTAATGCCAATACTGCTTGCTAGGAGAAATAGGTAAGGTGGCAGTACTTCCATGGACGAAATCTGTCACATAGAGCTCTACTGCTACTAAAATGTCGTCATATGGCTTCGAAGTTTGTGCGTTGCATGTTGAAAAGTATTTTTTTAAATTTGAGCTATATATGCTTTCGTTTCGGTAACCTATCACAAAGTCGAAGATTTTTTTGGCCGAAATAAAGTGTTCGAATTTTCATTACACCGAAAACCGAATTATAACGAAACAGTTGTTCTTTCAGGATATGTTGAATGTTTATCGTAAAGAAACGATTAGGTTCGGTTAGGTTAGGTTTAAAATAAAAAACATGTTCCTCTCAAAATTACTTTCGAGGTTATGAAATTTCGACCAAACGTTATTTCTGGAAAATGTCATTTCGGACTACTCATAGGTAACCTTTTGTTTCAGGCCATGCACTCAATGTGGAGATAATTTTGAGTCAGAAGAGCAAATAAAGGTTCACATGCACCACTACCACAATAAACAAAGACCTATACGGACGTCTGCTAAACTTGAGGTAAACCGATTTAACTGTATTTGTGAACCGATTTCAACGATTTTGTTGGAAAGGGGGTTTCTCATTAGCGGTCCCAGTTTAACTGCCTCTATGGACGAATGGTTACTGCAGAAGTTCCATGTTCCATTTATTTATCTTGTGAGTTTGTTAAGTGTGTGCGTTATTATTATTATTTAAATTTAATGAAAATATTCCACCTCCAAAGGGTCGCAAATTAGGGGATGAATCCGGTTTCCGGTACAATGTCCCTATATACACCGATCAAAAAGTCTAGGGTCAAGGTCATTGACTTACAAATAAATGGACGACGGGTCTAATACAAAAACCACGAAAAAAATGTCCCAAGTCAACCTATTCGAAATTTAAATTGTTATGTCATCGCAGTATCGCGCTGTCAGTAGAACAAATGAAGACTAAAGCGGAGTTTGGCGCTCTGTATACGATTTTAGCGCCTTACAAGTGCGGACACTTTTTAGCGCGGACCCGACGTCCATATAATTGTAAGTCAATGGTCAAGGTATTTTTTTTTAAATATTTGATTACAATATTTATTAATTAGTTTTTTAATTACGAAATTGACCAAAAAAAAACCATCAATATTCAAAAAATTAATTAAAAAAAACTGATTGATGATAATTGACGAAAACGTTTTTGATCTGTCTAGATCAAAAACGTCTACTTTCTATCTACTATCTACTTTTAATATGTGTATTCCAAAAGTATATTCTGTTTTAATTTGTGAAGTACAAAAATGGATTAAAAAAAATTTTTTTTGACATATTTCACGTGGAACTTTTTATAATATCAAGTAACGGGACGAACAAGTCGTGCCGCTTATGGTAAGCCACACGCCTGTTCTTAACAGTTGCAGTGCCACTTGAAATCGCAAAGATCTGCACTGCCACTGCGCCCTCAGGGTGACCTGAGACATAAGTTGACAAGTCCCATGTGCCTGTAATTTCACAGCACCCTTCCAAACCGGAACGCAGTAATTCTCACATTACCGCTTGGTGGAAGAAATAGGTAAGGTGGCAATACTTCCCTGGACGAACTCTTTCACAAGGACCTCTACTGCTAGTAAAATTTATACCGTTACAGGGTTTGTTTCGTTAAATATCACCTGATGTTTTAAAGGCAATTATTTTTTACAGAAACCAAATGAAGACAAACCAAACGTCCGGTGGTTAGCCAAAAAATACTCCAGAAACTACAACACTACATCTCCGGACACCACACTAGATGACACCAACCTTCAAGCTACTACAATAAACGCTCCTATACCCAATCCCACCTTTAATATTGCACACAGTACATTAGAAAATACAAATTTTTCAATCGCAACACTACCTGACACAAATTCAACGGTCTCTAATGTAAACACTAGTTTAGAAAACACTACTTCAACCAACGTATTATCAACAACTAACACTACATATAAAAATGCTTTTGATAATGCAAGAAAGAAAGTTTCCTTCGTAAAAAAGAGAAGAACTATAAATTATGGAGCTCCGCAAAAATTGATGTGTGAGATGTGCGCAGCTGATGGGTTTGCCGTAAGTAAACCATTTTTACGAAGTTTATTTCGTGACCATGGTGGATACAATACTTTCAGTCGAAAAAAATGTCTTAGTAATAATGGATCATAACTTTTTTAAATTTTCATTGAATTGATGTTCAATTATTTTTTCTGAAATTACTCCACTAGTTACTTATAATTATTAATACAAAGATCGAACCTTACAAAAAATTTGTCGGTTCGAATCCGGCCGGATCGCTCATATAGGTTTGTTTAATTTCACTTTTTGAGGTATTGTGGACGAAACAATAAATAAATAATCATTAATACAAAGATCGAACACTCAGAAAAAATTCCTTCGATCCAGCCGGATTCGAACCGACGTCTTCTAGCTTACCGTGTTAGACGCTATACCAACTAAGCCACGGAACGAACCAGCGGACCTCACGAATTTTTCTATGTGCTTGCGTCGTGACTTTGTATTTAGTTTTTCAACGACTTTTTAGTCGTAACGCTAACTATGAAAAATCTATGAAAGATTTATCACCCAGTTAGTACTTTTACAGCTACCAGTCCTGGTGAGAGATGTCGCCAGAGATAACTTGTTTATTGTTAGCCGACCTCAAAAATTCGTGGAATTACGTCTATTAGCCAAGTTTTATTGAAATCGGTTACCGGAAAAAAGGCGAAACCGGATTCACGCCCTAGTTTTCCACTCTTAGAGGTGGAATATTTCCTTCAAATTTAAATGGGACCAATAGTAAGGTCTTTTTTTCTTGGAGAGAGGGTTCCTTCCAAAAAGGCATCATCAAAATCGATACACTCAAAAAAAATGCAATCGAATTGGGAACCTCCTCCTTTTTTTGAAGTTGGTTAATAACAATGATATAATCTGGATTTGATAGTATATTTTGGACACAGCGGGGAACACTTAATTCGTTTGTGCAGGCTCAACTTGTGTTTTTATGCTCGCTTGCCGTCGCCACCTTTGTGTTGTTCATATTGTTTCCTCAAACAATGGAATTTATTTTCTAATTTTGTGTAAAACGATTAATTTCGGTGTTTTGGAGTGTAAAAATGATAGTCTCACTTGTAACTATGGTGGTATTTCGTATTTTTTATTTAATGCATTTTAAATTTTCTGTTTATCGTGACCATTTCTTTGTTAAACAAACCAAAAAGAAAACTAAATAAACATCTCAAATTCGTCGTCGTTCAGCTATTAACAGCTAGATGGCAGCACATTGATTATTACATTGATTGAATTTTCAATATACAGTCAAAACATCGTAACTTGCAATAACAAATTACAATATTAATAATCCAGAATTTATTTCTTTTTAAATTTGAAACTACGACCAATTTTTATTAAGATTTGATAGTGTTTCAAATTATGGATGTGTGAGTGGCAACAGCGGTTCTGATAGTGATCGAGGCTTAAAGCACTTCCAATTGTTTTTATCTTCCGTGATTAAGGTACTTACCATGGGTATCGTAAACAGAATATACAGAAGTATAATATTCTGTTTACGACTTCAGAGACCCAAAGACACATTTGAATTAAATAATGAAATATTCTTAATCATTCTAAATCAATTTCTTAATGTCTTAGATTTCTCATAGATGGCGCTACGGCTAAAAAGTCGTTGAAAAACCAAATACAAAGATACGACGCAAGCACATAGAAAATGTCGCGAGGTCCGCTGGTTCGTTCCGTTGCTTAAGAAGAAGTCTTTTCGAATCCGGCCGGATCGAAGGGTCGAATCTTTGTATTAATAATTACAACAAACGAGTGGAGTAATTTCACATAAAAATAATTTAATATCGATTCAATAAAAAAATAATAATTAAACCATAGACTTACCTAAAGAACTGAAAAGAAACCGTTATTTTCACATTTATAATATTTATTTAATACAATGTCTTTCCGTTTCAGTGTTGCCATTTTTCTATCACTGTTTTTACTAATTATTGTAGTATGTCACCAGTCTTTCACCTTGTGTGGTAAACCAGCAGGACACATCATGTATATAACGTTTGGTCTGTACAGAGTGAAGCCGTGCTGCGCTATCACCAACGCATCCACACCGGCGAGAAACCACACCCTTGCCCGGAGTGCCCCAAGCGGTTCCGCATCAGAGAACTCTTGCAGGCAAGATACAAGCACTATAATAAAAATAATCAAGTACGATCTCTGTGATAGTTCATAAATATCTTCAAAACATAACCTAAATTCTCCTCTGCCTGAAATGTTGTCTGTTTTCTTCCCATTACAGCCATGATCGCTAAGGAGTTTTTTTTTTAATTTGTAGCACGACATACTTCCTTACATAGGTCAGAAAGTTCAAAATTAAAACAGTCGCTTAAAATGTTATCTAAACTGAAATTTTATTGCAATTCAGCCACTTACTACTTAAAACTTATTATTAATTCACAAACACTTATCTTATAAAGATGGCAAAACTTTCCATTTATTTTAAATTTCTTACAATTATATGGACGTCGGGTCCGCGCTAAAAAGTGTCCGAACTTATAGGGCGTTAAAATCGTATACAGAGCGTCATTCACGCTTTAGTCTTCGTTTGTTCGACTGACAGCGAAGCAAGCAAAATTAGACAGTACTGCGATGACATTACAATTTAAATTCAACGTTTTAGCTTTTTCATATTCCTTTAAATGTCACTACGTTTAAATAGGTTGACTTGGGACGTTTTTTTCGTGGTTTTTGTATTAGACCCGTCGTCCATTTATTTGTAAGTCAATGATCAAGGGTGTTAATTTGGTTGCATTACTTTAAGAATAAGTAAAAGCCAGTGTGTGAATATGAAGGAAATGTGATGAGAAATCAGACTACAAATTTGTAATATACAATGCAGTTACATTGTGCTTTAAGATATATGTTTAAGAAAGTAAGGCGACAAAAATCTGTCTACAGAAATATTAGTAGAAATTTTGAGACTGTTTTTCTGTGTACTTCTTTCTTGGCCGTCTTTCTTCTTTCATGCGATTGTCTGCCATATTATTATTTCCAATTTCAGAAGCACCTACGCACTCACACTGGCGATCGACCGTACAAATGTGCTCACTGCCCTAAAGCCTTTAAAACTGCGTCTGCGCATTACACACATCAAGTGGTAAATACATTAGATTTTTTTTAATGACTAATGTTTAGGAAATGAAACTATTTTTCCGGATTTAAATCGCGTTTATTTGTTTTTTCAAACAATCCGACGTATCGGACCCTTTACAGGTCCCATGGTCACGCAGTACTAATTAATATGTTTTAGTTTATTCTAATTTCTAGTATTAATTAATAAAAAATTGAACTTAATAAAACAAAATCATTCAATAAAATAATTTGTAAAAACTTAATGTAGCGTAAATTGGAATGTTTCTTTGTAAAATTAAAAATAAGGTATTTAATTAATAACTATTGTAACTATATTGAAAAAATAGGGTGGTTTGCATCAATATTAGACATAACTGGTTGAAGACTGTACCACCTCAATCAACCGTTTCATTTTCAGTGTAACAATCGCGAAAACTCGCCTAATGTTTATTTACGAGCAACACCTAGAGTTTCTTCTCAGGGGAATCTGCCTTTCGAATGAGAAAAAAAAATACTTCATCGAATAGACTCAACTCAACTGTTGAATCTATTTGATGAATTTTTTTTTATTATTTTGAAATAGAATCTTTAGATCTATCGAATTACTATTTTTTATCACGTGATAACCATCACGCTATTTATCCTGCAGGTCCATACGAAAATCCGGCGTCACCGCTGCCACCTCTGCGAAAAGACTTTCCTCACATCAACATGTGTGAAAACGCATATCAGATCTGTTCACATGAAGATACCACAACCGAACAGGGTTAGAAGGGATGACTTGTACGGCAGTGGACTTATGGAGTACTAATATGGCCAACATAGTAATGTTCCGGGCGATTGTTTGTATTTGATAAAAAAAACGTGTTCTTTCTTGGAATGTTTTCAATCAAATGGACTTGTGTAATAAAGATTTTGTTACTCCTGTACTTATCTGTCAATTATAATTTCATAAACCATATCACAAAAGCGCTCTTTTTAGTTCTGAACCAAAATACTTTTGTCTATGGTACTCGCTACTAAACTGAAAAATTTCAAACAGTACTTTTTATAAAAAAAAACCGGATCCATCCCCCAGTTTGCCGCCCTTAGAGGTGGAATATTTTCTTTAAATTTAAATGGGACCAATACTGAGGTACCCTCTTTCCAACAAAAAGAACCGTCAAAATTGGTTCACAACTGGCGGAGTTATCGCGTAACATACATTTAAAAAAAATACAGTCTAATTAAGAGCCTCTTCTTTTTATTGAAGTCGGTTAAAAAAGGCAGTATTTGGTTTCATTTCATTCCCTTCTTTTTCTACATCTATGGTTTCATATCAGACATGGGAAAAAAGGGGATATATGTATGGTATTGGTATTGGTGCAACGGACTAGTTTCCGCAACTCGACGTCGAGGCGCCTATTTTGCGTGTGGTGGGTGCAGGGTCCTACTCGTGCCACCCAAGCTCCTCCAGGAATCTCAGCAGACTTCGGTTTTCTGAAGATTTCGGGGAGCGACCTCGGCACTCCAAGGTACTTTGCCCTGTAGGGGATATATGTAATGACATGTTTTCATATACGATATTATATACTTCCACTTTGAAGCGTAATTGCACGTGTGTAAATTCAGTTTATTATTTCCATGTTTTCATAAATTCGTTCCAAAGCAATAACCGCTGGTTAACAATAAAACAACCCAAAAAAGTCGAAAAGCAAAATTCTATTGTATCAAAGATTTATGTTTTTGCACTTCGGCTCTGGTATCCTCGGCCAGTGTTGCCATTTTCGAAGCAATGAAGAACCGCAGTGTGTCTCTCAAGGCGTTGGGAAAGTATTCCGCTTCGATCTGGTCACCCAGGACCGAGTAACATGAGGGTAGGTGCCAACGGATTTTGTAATCCTTATTTTCCGACTGAAATTTAAAGAAAAATAGTTGTTTTAAATTGGACGTAGTTAAACAAAAAGGATACAATGCACATCCAGTTACTTTTGAGATATGGCAGTTTGAAGTTTAAAAGCTTAGAATAATAACGCATAGAAACCTAGTCCGCACACGCTAAGTGAGGCAAATTGAACAGATGAAGAATTTTAGCTAAAAATGACTAAATGTGCGGTAAATGAGTGTAAAAATACGTCAGACAAACATAAAATAGATACTAACATCACATTCCACAAGGAAGTAACGCGTTTCAACTTGTATTTTTATATAAATATTCACTAAAACCGAAAATTAACCTACTAATAAAACTAGCCTACATGAATTTGATTTTTGCCTCACTTGTGACAGTTCGTTTGATATGAAACTATCATTCTATGCGTTATTATTCTAAGTTTAAAAGTATGCTTCACTCTTGTATTTTCTATTTACGTTTATGTTTGATTTTATTTGCTGAAAAAAATCCAACATAAATTTCAAATGAGTTACATATAACCCAGTAACTCATTTTACATTCATTTTTTGATAATTTTGTGGATTGGATCCTTTTTGCTTAACTACGTCCAATTCACTTTAATATTGAAATAAAACGAGTAGATAAAAGGTTAAAAGGGATAATTAGTAGATTTCTTTGCGAAAGAGTTAGTCCAGGGAAGTACCGCCATCTTACCTATTTCTGCCGCCAAGCAGTATTGTCAGTATTACTGTGTTCCGGTTTTGAAGGGTAAGGGTGCTGGTGAAATTACAGGCACATGGGACTTGTCAACTTATGTCTCCGGGTGACGGGCGCAGTGGCAGTGCCCCTCAGATCTTTGCGATTTAAAACTCTGAGTGGCAATGCATCTGTTATGGATAGACGTGTCACATACAACCAGGCAAAAAAAAAATTGACATAGAGATCTAGCGGTTTACATTATGAGGGCTGGATGCCAAGGTCCCGATGGGACCAATTTTGGAAATAAACTTCAATACTGGTTCTGTACTGGGTGTACTGGGAAGTGACTTAGAGTGTATTCCGTTACGCTGGTACACATACTGCAGGGAATTCTTTAACTTCTGTTGTATGCCTGACACATATCAACCTACGTAACGTATGGTATGGCGAAATTGCCAAGTTTACAGGGGAGCGTTTTAAAGTTTTGAATACACTAAAATAAGCATAATAATAATAATATCTTTATTAACACTTTTGCCTTATAATTAGTACAGAGCAGCAATTTTATTATTTATTTAACAAAATTTTATTGGTATAGATATAACGTAGCACAAAATATAAAATAAGGCGTACCAAATTTAGAGATTCTGTCTCCTAAACTAGTCAAAGACTGTATCTTAGGAGGCAAACACGTATATATTTTACAATATATATCGTGGTTATTCATCTAACCGATATCTGGGATTTTATAATACTCTATGTGAGTAACGAGCTTTGCCAAATAAAACTGGGAAATGCTAAAGTCACGTGTTATGCTCAGTTCAGTGTATTCAAAACTTTAAAACGCTTCCCTGTAAACTTGGCAATTTCGACATAAATGATATTTTGCGTAGAAGGGGTCGATACCTTAAAATTAATCAGAACGAATAAACTACTACCGCTATCAATGTCGTGCTATGCGTTTTTTTTATAATACAAAGTGACAGGACAGATAAGTGCGCCTGGTAGTAAGCGATACCATCCACTTGAGACATAAATTGACAAGTCCCTTGCGATTGTAATATCAGATAATATCACAAAGGTTGCTTTAATTCCAATATTAAGTAAAGCACTTGAGTTATGGATATCGCAAACAACGACATTACCACAAACACCCAGACCCGAGGCCATCGAGTATATAACCAGAAATAGAGGCGAAATAAGGCCCATCCATCCCTGGCAACTTATCAGGCAAAAGGGCCTTATATTACTTAAATATCTCTCGTTTGCGCTGAAATCACAAACTAGAAAGGTGAAATAGTACAGAGCGCCAACAACCGACCTGTGTGTACGTCTCCGTATATTCCAAAAATATTTTGTATTTATTGCAATAAAGATAATATCTCTAACTATTAGGGGTTGTTTCTTTCGGTGATGTGGGAAAAATAGCAAAACATCTAAATTAGAAAACAAACGGAATCACATTTCATCGGTAATCATATATGTAATTTTACAATTTTTGACGACTCCCGTCAATTGTTTCGAATGCGGGCTGACCAATCTGAGCGCAGTTGTTACCGTAATAATTTGGCAGAATAGTTTTGAAACAAATTAAACATGACATTTCGTCTCTATTTCTGGTTATATACTCGATGCCCGAGACAATATAGAAAAACACGGCGACACTACGAAATCCGGTATGCAAGCCATCCAAACTCAGAGGTCATCTCAGATTTTCAAACTAACTTACCTTTATAAGGCCCAGACCTCCCAACATGGTGTTAGCCAGTAACCACGCTGTGGCATGCTGCGGTCCAGCTCTCTTCAACAAAAGCTGGTATAGTTGTCTGGAGATGTTGCGGGCTTCTGGGCTCTGTTTCGAGAGGCCGGAGACCATGAGGGTCGCTTCCACGTACGCCTGGATCAGGTCTGCGGGTTCCTTGATCGCCTGAAAAATGACAAACAACATAAGCTAATACTTGTGGTAAAATAATAATAATGACAAGTTGTGGACCTGATGGTAAGCGACACGCCTGTCCAAAACAGTTGCAGTGCCACTCAGAGCTTTCAATCGCAAAGATGTGCGGGGCACTGCCACTGCGCCCGTCACTCTAAGACATAAGTTGACAAAGTCCCAAGTGCCAGTAATTTCACCAGCACCCTTCAACACCAGGACACAGTAATGCTGATTTTACTGCTTGGCGGCAGAAATTGGCAAAGTGGCAGCACTTTCCTGGACGAACTCTTTCACAAGGCACTCTACTGCTACTAAATATAATATACCCTTACAGTTGCCACCCTGAAATTTCATACCCCGAAAATTGCCAACGCGAATCCATCCGAAATTAAAATCAAGATTTAAGCTATTTTTTGTTGCTAAAGTTA